AATCAGTCCCCAAGCTAAGGAACGGGTTTGCAGTCTGATTGAGAAAGGAGTAAAAGAAGGTGCCAGCCTTCTCCTGGATGGACGTAATGTCAAAGTGAAGGGTTATGAAAATGGCAATTTTGTTGGACCAACAATCCTTGCCAAAGTCAAGGTGAGGTGACCAAAACCAGTGCTTGCAAGTGTGTATTGCAGGGTCAGCTGAAAAATGGGTTATCCAAATCAGACAGTAATCAATGATCACCAAGTAGAAAGGCCATAAATGGTTCAGCTTCCCCTTGTAGTGTCAATTAAGTAATCCTTGTAATGCAGGCAGTAAAAGCAGAAAGCATTCTGGAGATGAAAAGTGGTGCCTCTTTTAGTGTACTAGATAGAGGATAGGGCATGGGAAATGGTGAAGAGGTAAGGAGGACTGAAGGAAGGCCTGTGGCAATGTAGTATGATAAGTAATCCTAGGAATATCATGAGTACTAACAGCACGTGTGTTTCTTATATCCTATTTCTACAATATTTTTATTATATCCTTTATACAAACTGATTTTTCTGCTGTCTGTATTGGCAGCCAAACATGACTTGCTATAAGGAGGAAATCTTTGGGCCCGTTCTAGTGGTGCTGGAAGCAGACACTTTGGATGATGCCATTGAGATGGTGAACAATAACCCCTATGGGAATGGAACTGCAATCTTCACCACCAATGGAGCCACAGCTCGGAAGTATTCTCACTTAGTAGATGTGGGGCAGGTATGTTCCAGCTAGGATTGTTGCTTTTAGCCCTCACTGTTTACAGTGGGTTCATTCAGCTGTAATTGCTGCCCTCTCATCCAGCAGTACCCAGCCTCAGACATAAGAAAACAAAATGCAGAAGCATTTGGAGAGTGCTCTGCAATCTGTTATTTCTTGTGACTAATATGGCAGGTTTCCTTTGGTGTAGGTGGGTGTCAACGTTCCAATCCCAGTACCTCTGCCCATGTTCTCTTTCACTGGCTCTCGTGCTTCTTTCAGAGGGGACACCAATTTCTATGGCAAACAGGTAACTTTCTGATTCAGAGTACTCTATTGGGTTAATTGTGATAAATCATGTTATAAATGGCAATGGGGAGATGGTCATCAGACTTCATTAGTGAGGAGACTTTGAAGCCATTTCAACCAGGAAACAGAAAACCAGACAGTGATCACAGCACCATAATGCATGTCACAATCATACATAGCCTGTTTCTCTTTCTCTTAAGTAAAAACATGCAGGTCTTTTTAGGATATTTTAGAAGGGAGCAATAACTAGCAAGCTTTCTCACTGAATCAGAATCTTTGTTAAACTGGTAAAAAGAACAGGCTGACAAGAATTGTTTCCAGAGAAGAAAATTCAATCCTGTTTAGATAAAGCAGAAACTGTTTGATTTACCACTAGTGTAGACCTGAGGAATTAATAAGGCCAAATATCTGATATGTGGATCTCTCCTTTCCTCCAGGGAGTGCAGTTCTATACACAGCTGAAAACTATCATTTCTCAATGGAAAGAAGAAGATGCCACCATTGCCAAGCCTGCTGTGGTTATGCCAACTATGGGAAACTAAACCAGCCTTTGCAGATGCTGTTCCTGGTGCCCTTCTATGCTGCACTTTCCAGCTTTGTCCTGACTATCACCCTTTACTTGGGAATGAATAGCAAGGTCCTTTGTCTCAAGGATCTATTCCTGTGCAGGCTCATGTGACTCACGGTCTGGATTTTCTGTTGCTGTCAATGTTTTTTTGGTTAGCTGAACTAATTTTTTCCATACAACCTTTCAAAGACTAAATAACCTTATCTAACTGAAAGGTCAGCCACTGAGATTGGTCTTAATTTGTGTTTCTTTCCAGACCCCGTGAACTTGAACATAACTCTGGTTTTCACTTCAGTATCTTTAGCCTTAGTGACTCACTCCTGGCTACATCTTGTAGCAGGTTTATTTACCTCTTTATCTTGCATATTAAGATTCTGAGTTCACTTTACTCAAAGATGAGTACTCATTTTGAGTGACATAACTGGGACATCTTGGGTGTCTCATAGAAGTGACTTTACATACAATGAAGATAGCAAGTTGTCAGTCATTCACCTGTCGAGCAGTTTCCAAAACACTGGGAAATAGCTTTGTATGGGTTTTTCAGGAAAGCATATTTGATTGCTTGTCTGAGGATGAAAGAAATTTCTGTATGGTACAGTGACCTTTGCTGTACCTCTGACAGCTTGAATACTTCTGTTCCTTTTCTGTCTGGGGCTTGTATGCTCAAGCTTGCCAGCAATTTCATTATAGTTGAAAGTTGTTTGGTGCCTTTTCCCTGTGCTAAGGGATACAAACCTACACCATAATGAAACTGTGGAAGCAGAAACATAACCATGTATATGTATCTTTGTGTCACAGCATCATGTGCATCTGACTAAAATGGAGACTAAGTCGACAGGTCAGTAGGAAGAAAGAACACATTTTTTAATCACAAAGCAGCCTGTTGGCTTTCTGTCCTGATTGTAGCTGTATTTCTTGTGTTGGTTGATTGACTCCTTGTCACATTTGCTCAAACACAGTCATGTACTCTTGGGACTGCAAGTTCCTATTGCTAGAGAGGAGTAAGACTTGGTATATACAATCTGGTTTTAAGAATCTCTGCATTTGGAGCTGGAGAACCTGTATTTTAATTTTGTTCCTGAAAGATGATGCAGCCATGAAGGATCTGCAGGGATCTCACTCAAACATCCATGGAAAATAATATTCTTCTAATGTTTGTAACCATTAAGTGTTCTAATGTAACCATTAAGTGTTCTGAATGTGAACACTTTGTATCCTGCCTTCAGGTAAAAATGCCTTGTAACTGACAGCTCTATATTAGTGCAATTGCTGTACATTCACTAATGTTTGTACCTTGTTTTTTTTCCTCTGCTATACACTAGAGGGAAATTCTCACCTTGCAATTTGATTACAAATTAAAAACATGCTAATATATTTCTGCAGACCATGACTGTTCCTTGGTAAGACCTTACATAGGTGTGATGTTGATTTTATTCCCCTCTTCACAGGAGATGGTCTGCAACTCCTGTAACCCATGTATACATTTTCCTTTTACAGTATTTCAGGGACCTCTGTACTAGTTTCCTCACATAGCGTTTCAAGGAATGCCTTGTTTCTGTTTCCATGTACACATAATTTGATCACAGCCATCTTCACCAAGTTATACCAGCCCTTTATACACATAGTTCTAATGACTAGTCCAAATGCTAGTGCAGATGAGTTGCTAATTGCTGGCTGCTGTTCATGGAAAGTATATAGCTGCCTTACTTGGTCTGTGCTGTTAACATCTAAACATGTGGAAGGATCACTGCAGAAGAGGATTAACCTGACAATGTGGCCTGCTGTGTAATAAATATTAAGTTGGGAGAAGTATCTTCTGTGTTGCAAAGGTAAAATATTATAGGTAAGTCACTATTAAGACATTGGCATTCATTCAAGCACCTAGGGAAGAAATATTAAGAGCCTCTAATACTGTCTACAGTAATTTACTTTTGAAATGCCTTCATTTTCTCCCTAATCAGCATTGCTATTCTGACTTTGTTGTTGTCCTATGAAAACCCATTGTATGCTTCTTTTAGGAATTCTAGAACCCATCTTCTCCTTTAACAAAAGCAGTCTATTATCAAGGTTACTTGCTCCCTGAGGAATTGCAGGACTATTCCTGCACTTTCTCTAGATATCTTCTACACACCTGTATGATTTCATTTGTGTGCAAACACCTTTTCTGATTATCCACATTTCCAACATAATTTTTACACAGATAATTTTAAATAATTTAACTAGAAATACAAATCTTGTGTGTTCCTTTTCTAATAAATGAACTGTCTTTTTTAGACCCAGCTGCAGATGCTACTTGATTGTGATTTACCTGCCTCATCTCACATCTCACTGCTGTTACTGCTTTCCACTCATCTCTTTATTCTCCTTTTTATTTAATATTTGACATAAAAATAAACTAAATAATGTATCTGCTATATTATATAAAAGTATAGTCTAAAGTATCTCATAATAAATTTCTTTAGACTATTAAATACAATTTCATAGTCAACCCTTTGAAGACTATTAAAAACAGTTTATTGCTCAGAAAGCACTGAAATTTAGATTCTGAAAGCTATTTAATACACATAAGTCCAAAAATTGTTCTAAAATGGCTTAACCACCTCTGAGAATTTGGCCCTGTGACTTCCACTCACAGGGGTTTTCCTGTCTGTATCAAGAAAAATACTCCAATCCACTTCCATGTCCACTGTGTATCTTTATGTGTAAATGCCTCCAGGGCTCCTGCTTATGAACTTTATCTCATAATTTGATGTCTGAATATTACACTTTGGCTCGTGTGCTTGACTGCCTCACATCTGACAAGCCGTGCATGCCAGAACTCCGCCCTACCTTTCCTCCAGGTAAGCTGACACTGCTCGCCTTGGAGTGTTATAATTAGCAATGAAGTTGTATCTGAGTTGGTATCTGAAAATCAGGCATATGAGTCTTCATCATGGTCCACCCTTTATGATTCTATACTGAATGCAACACCAGCTGCATAGATTTTGCCTTTTTAATCAAAACTCACTGTGCTAGCTGAAAATGCATCTCCTTGTATGGTCGTGGACTTTCACAAGAGCATCCTCTAGAAAACATAAGCCTGCTTTTCAATAAGAAAGGGCTTTAGGAGGTCATGAGATTTTTTTTCCATGATAACTGTGTCTAAATGCCTGCTGCTGAAAGATCAACACAAAACCAAATTTTAAAATTAAAAAAAAATTCCTCACTTTTGTCACACAAACATTCATGTGCATATAAATACACTACTATAATCTTATGTCCCAATTCACAGCTTATAATATACTTAATTCTTCTTGAATTTTGAATTTCCAGTGTAAGACATATTTTAGGTATCTCTAAAGTCATTCTCCCACATTTCTTATGCAGACAGCAATGAACTGTAGAGTAAATAAACTTTTCATAATCTGGCTGTGGATGTTTGTACTTTTTAATACTGGGAAGTTTGCTTTACAACACTCTTGTACAGAAATATACCTGGGGAATGTTACTGTCACAATAGATATTATTTACTTGTTTGGTATAGATGGATAGGGATTCATTAATGACTGAACAAAATAAATCCCACTGCACTGAGCAAAGATAATTCTCCTGACTTCTATTCTTGACCTTAGCAGTACCAAAATTTATTTCCAATTGTTTTTCTCTTGATACAATACACAAAGATCTAACAGTACTGTCTAGTGCATGTACAAAATCAGTATATGGTGTACCAACTTTTGTTTAAGTACCTCACACCAAGCCACACAGTTAGATTCTTATGTTAGATTCAGAACTTACTAGAATCCTGTGACCTGGAGTGACCAGCCCAGTTCAGTATCCACCTACTGAAGAAACAAAAGATTACCATGGATTTGTCCCATTCCTTTGGACAAAAAGCAATTGCAAAACGTTTTTTGTTTTTTTTTCCTCATGTCAACTTACTGATACCCAGTTTTTCAAACTTTTTTTCCTCCTGAAAAACACAGAAAAGATCAATGTATTAGAAGGAAATTTCAAAGGCATATCATTCATGGATTCTGTATGTGTAAAACAGGTTTAAAAGTCTAGCTCTGCCTTGCTTGTATTCAGCTTTTCATAGCACATAAATTTAAAAACTAAATGTAAGCACACAGTGTTGTGTTTTCAACTTCTAAATCTATGGCTCCCTAAACTAAACAAAACAAACCCACTAACTTCTGCTCTGTTAGTGATTATATGATAAATACTGGGAAGGGGAGGCCTTGTACGAACATTCACTAGTTTCAAATACATTGTCCTTTCCTTGTCCCTCCTGTTCATACATCCAAGGGTCAATACACACTTTTCTCTCTCAGTTCCAATCTATCCCTTCTTCTCCAGGGGAGAAGATTCCTTAGACCTCAATTACAAATTTCACCCCTGTTTTTTCAAGGAGTGTTTCTGCTGTATCATTTTTGAGATAACCTGAACAAAGCATTCCAACTGACTATGTGTCACCAAGTTATTCAGTAGCCAATCCATACTAAACAAACATTTTTCTGGGGTTTAGGATCATGTTAATCTCTCACCAAGGACATAGGAAAGCTTCAGCGATGGACCTTAACTCTATGGCTTAAAAGCCAAGTGCTCAGACACTGCTGCAGTTGGTAGGTACAGATGTCTAGCATGAGGCTGGAGACCTGAAATCCTGGCTACTGCAGCATGTGTAGCTCAAATTTAATTTAAACAGCATCCTAACAGAAATTCTGAGATACACTTGTAAATCTGAGATTTTTATTCACTATAAAATGTAATCCTGTCAATCAGTACTGCACTGCGTGTGATCCTGTCTTCAATATGTCAGCATCCATTTCCTGTAATTACTTAATTTTTAGATTATTAGAAAGCTTGAGCAAAACAGCCTTGAAAGCACAATGCAAAGCAGAGGCTTCTCAGATATGGGAAACCAGTGGAAAACAGACTGTATTTGCCATCTACTGTATATTTCTGTTAAAATGATCAGCAATATAGTAAAGAGCTGTTAGCACCTTAATTGTAATTTTTTAGGCTTCACTGTTAGCTCACTGGAGTAAGTAAAAAGCAAAAGAGCAATGCTGGAAAAAGCAATGCTTATAAAACAAAAAAGCAGCAAAAATAATTATTAAAATGAAACTACAGAAGCACATCTGTACTGGAAGTTCTCTATCAAATTCCACATAATATGGCAGAATATGCAAATAACTCTTTTGAGTTTACCTTTCGTTTAATCCATAGAAATAATGACCAAAAAGTGATAACCTAGTTGAAATTAGGTTCCCACAAATTCATTGCTAATTTATAGGATACTGCAACTCATACAGTTATTCTCACTACAGAAGTCTCCATAAGAATTCCAAATCCAAAAAATATTATCATTAAAAGGATTTTTTAGGTGTCTGTCTAGGAAGATGGATACTAGTTTTCAATGTTTCCATACCAGTAGCAGTATGTGCTTCCTCTAGGTCTCTGTGCACATTATTTATGCTCTTTCTGCTGCTTTTGAATGTTTTGATTTGGGGAAATTGCTTCTTCGCTGCACACGCCTCCATACATTTTTGTTATAGGCAGTTTGTGCCTTTTTTCTTTTAATGCTTTCTACTGGATATGATCTCCCAATTCACATCACGGAGCACCTATATAGAATCTTTCCACCACAGTCCCCTCATTTAAGATACTCTGTGCTATGGTCTTCACTCAGTCCATCTCTCAATCCTTCATTTCTAGTAGTTGCTGCAGTTTTTTGATCTGAACCATACTTGGTTGGTGCTGAGTTTTCTGTCTCTCTCACAGATTTTCTGGTCATGTGCTGTAAGGCCATTTCCAGTGTTTCCACTTTATATGCAGCTGTCCGGTCCGTGCTACAGAACGTGGTGCAGTGCTGAGAAACTTTAGAAAAGGAGAAAAAGTGACAGATACAGAAAGAAAGTTGACCATCTGGAAAAAGTCCAAGAAAGATCTTTTATACTATACAGGCTGAAAGCAAGCACTGGCACATGAGCAAGAAAATAGTTTCCTACGAACCGACCTCATCAATGTCTGGGGATCAGAGCTTTGTGTCTTCTTATTCAATAAATAGGATGTTAAAATAATTGAATTTTCGTTTCAATCTTCAGAGGTTTTTTCCCTAACTGTAAAAGGGGTTTGCTTGGTGCTTGGATTTAGAAAAGTAGGAATAGGGGTAAAGTCAAAGAATCTGCGATAGAGCAAATGGGAGGACAGCACAGCGCTTCTTTTTCCTTGTGTTCTGAGCTCGGCTCCGTTTTCTCGAAAACCTCTCCCAAGGAGCCAAGCCCAGCAGATTCCCTCCCAGCTTTCTCTGTTTCGAGCTGAACCAGCGCTCCAGCAGCGCCGAAGGCCCCGGCCACCGCCGCGCCCCTCGGCCGGTTCGCTCCGCTGCTCGGCGGTGCCTCGCGAAGGAGCGGGGGGAGCCCCGGCCGCCGGGGAGGGAGGGAGCGGGCGGCGGGCGGCGGCGGCGCGGGCGCTCGGCCCGGCCCGGCCCGCGCCTTCCCGCCCGCGGGGGGCGCTGCCGCCCCGCACCACGGCCCCGGCGGGACGGGCGCTGCCTGCGGGGAGCTCGCGCCGGCCCCGCGGTCGGGAGCCGCGCCGCCGGTGGCTCCGCGCCGGGAGCGGCGCCCGTTCCCGCGGAGCCCGGGCGGCGCGCGCCCGCCACGCGCAACTCCCGCGACGGGCGGCGCGTCACGTGGGCGAGCGGTGACGCGGCGCGCGGGGCCGGCGGGATGCGGCGCCGCGAGCGGCCGGTGAGCGCGCGCAGCCGGCGGGGGCGGGGGGAGGGGCGCGGCGGCGTCCGCGCGCTGCCATGGACACCGCGCGCCCGCCGTTCCTCCCCCCGCCCGGTGCCAACGGCGCCGGGGTCGGGCGCGCGCGCGGGGCGGCGGCCGGCCCGCCGCTGCCGGGCCGGGTGAGCCTCCCCGAGCCGTGCTCGCTCCCGCCGCCCCGGGAGGGCGCTGCGCCCGGCGCGAGGCCGGGCAGGCGGCGGGAGGCACGCGAAAGCCGCGCCGGCGTTTCCGTTATCCCCGGGGCGGGCGGGAGGACGCCCCGTCCCGGGCGAGCGATAGCGCCGGCCGGCCGGGGAGGGGACGGGCGTTCCTGCGGGTGTCCTGCCGAGCGCCGGGGTACCGGGAGCACCGCGGGGCTTGTGCCGGGGGAGAGGGAAGGAAGGTAGGGACGGCTTTGGGGCGCGCTCGGGGCCGGGGCTTAGGTCGCAGCTGTGGGAAATGGAGCGAGGCAGGACGCGCTGGCGCCGGGATGCGCGGCAGGGACGGAGCCAGCAGCCCCAGCGGTGGCGGCAGCCGGCGGGGCGCCGTGTCCGGGGCATTCCCGGCAGCCGCGCTCTGGTCAGCAGGAATGCCGGCGGTGCCAGGAAAGGCGCCGGTACCGACCCCGCAGGTGTGCGCGCCGCCGCTCTGCTGGGCGCCCACACCGCAGTGTAGCGGTTTCCTGGAAAAGCTGCCTTGGGCTAGTTAAAAGGAACATTGAAAACTCACTTGGCCAGAAATGTGAATAAATAAGTAATGTGTATTTGGAGCCTCGGTACGGGGGAAGAAAGATTGAAACTTCCGATAACGCGTGTTTGTGAGTTCTACTTTTTTCCCCTGGAGTTTAAAGCTCTGGAGGCAGAATTTTACCGTAAATATATGTGCGCAAAGAATACTGTGCCATTGTATTTATGGAAATACTGGGTTCTGCCTTTGAATACAGGTATTCTTTCTATCTTCTAAACAGTGTGCTTTTAAGAAGCTTAAGTTTTTGTCAAAACAATCCAAGAAAGCTATTTTTTTTCAGGAGATAGAAGTAACTCCAGAAAAAAATGTATTAAATTTTTTTTTTGGGGAAAAATTTTTTAAAATTTTTTTTTAGTCTTGAGTGTTAAGTGTTAAAGCTCTCATCTGGGAAATAGATTTTGTGACCATAAGAGCTGCTCATATGGCAAATAGATTTTGTTTTGTTACTGTTTTAGCAGAGAAGACTTTCCGTTCTGAATGCTATCTGGTGTGCTTCAGCATGAAAGAACATTAATTATGTAATTTTGTTTCCTAAAATAGTTAATTTTGGAAAATATTTGCCTGTATTTATATAATTAATAATTATTTTTTAATATTTTTGTGTACCTCCAAATATTTCCCAATATTATGTTAGGAACCAGAAGTGAAATTCTTGTGTATCTGATACACTGCTTCTCCCTCCCCTCAGATCACATTCCTTTTTACAGAGAGATGTCTCTATTGTGTGGTTTGTGTTGTGTGTGTTATTTTGTCAGAAATAGTCGAGTATTGAATATTTCGTGTCTTGAAAATTACCAGTGTTTCTGTGTATGATGAGCTCTAAGTATGGTTGTGTTTTGCTGTCTTAAGGTTATTATTATGGTATAATTTTTACTTTTGTTGTTTATGGAGATTTTGGTTGGGTTTTTTCTTATTATTCTTGCTTTCAGTCTTGGAAGTCTCTATGCAACATCCCAGTATTTTTGGATCATACAGTTTGCATAGCTCCCAGTTTTTTCATATTGGATGTACTTCAGCTTTTTCATTTAGTACCTAAAATCTGCTGTGTATAGATGACATTTACAGGTGTTTTTCTCATTGGGAAATGAGAGGATTCTGACCTGTTTTGCTGGCTCAGGCCACAGGCATGTTGAGGTCAACTGTAGTGTTTGTGTAAATGTTTTACTAGCTTGATCTCAAGTTAACTTTCAACTTCTTGAAATTCATGCTGTGTAGTTATATAAGCATGTTTCCCTGCTTGTATTGAGTAATGATAAACTCAAATTTGTATAAAACAACTTGATTGGTATTTGATGTGCCTTCATGACCCTATGACTTGCCTGATCCATAGTCTGCTCCTGTTAGCCCACAGCGAAGGTGAAGAAGTGCAGGCACACTGTCTCTTGCCGTGGTGCTTTGAAGGTGGTTTTCATTAGGAATCCCTGGAGTGGAATAGCTGCTGCTTCCATCCTGCTTCAGGTGTGTGCCTAACATTTTCATGGGCAATGCTGATTATTGCTGCTCCTTTTGAAACACAGTAACTGGGACTATTGATGGGGAACTGTAGGCTTTACCTTGCTGAACTGCTTCATTGCATTAATAATCTTGTGCTCACATAGGAATTAACCCTGTTCTCACATTTCTGTTTGTTGTTAATTTTCTCCACCCTGTTGAGTTCTGATACCACCTAGGACTTTAAAGTTGTTTGACAGGAACTGTTTTGAAAATGTTTTTCCTTCTCAGTAACTTGTGTCTTGTCTATTACTACCCTGAATTTTTTTTTCCATACTTTTGATTCTGTCATTGCACATTTTTTTTCAGTTTCTGTTATACTCTGCTGGTTTCTCTCTCTTGTCTCTGATTTCCTACTCTCATTTGTTGTCATTCTTCTTGTGGACATTGATTTGCTAGTGCTTGATTAAATGGACTTCACCAGTCATTGCAGGGGCTCAGTATGTGTTTTTCATTCTTAATGAAGGAGAGGAAAAATAAAATCCCATGATGATTGTTTGTGAGTTTGTTGTTTTTTGGGGGTTTTATTTGTCCTTAGAACTATAAAAGGGGAAAGAAAAAAAAAGGGGAAATGTAGAAAACAGGAAGTGTGATACGGTGGTGGATATCTGAGAAGGGATAGAGAAGAGAAGCTTTGTGAGGGAATTTTACATGAGACTAAGGTTCTCATAGGTCTGGTAAGGAAAGTATGAGTTAATGATGGCAGTTGCTCAGATATTTTCGGATCATCAGAGATTCTGAGGCTTATATAACTGTCACATGTGCTGTTTGTAATAGGACTCTGGAGTTTGTTCTTAAGACAGGTGCTTGGGTTGTATTTGTGATAGTTCATTAAACAAAATCCTTGCATTGCATGAGAATAAGAACACCTCTTTGAACCTGCTGGAAGGTGGCTCTCACTAATGCACCTTAGGTTCTGTTTAAACAGCACAGCTGCTTGGATTTTCAGTGGCCCTCCTTGCTGTTGATGAAGCAAACCTGAGTAATACCAGCTGCATCTTAGTACAAATCCATTGCTACAAAACTGTTTGGTGCTTCTCATCAAGCCTCTACAGGAGAGTGCTTCATTACAGAACTACCTATTTACTCCTTTCCACATAAAATGTGTATACTTTAGAAATTACTGCAGTTGGAGTTGTTCTGTCACAGACACTGGCCAGGGCTGTTGTCTGCTAGTGGAATTGTGGTCAGCTGTTTTCAGAGTGTGCTTCTAAGGCAGAGAGGATCAGGAGTCTCTGCTTCTGCCCACATCTCTGCATTTGTTTGAAAGGGGAGGATAAAAATAAAGGTCACAGCAGACAGGTGACCCATCTGCAGTGGGCTGTGCACTTTGTGGTTCTAGGCATAGCAGAATGCTGGAGTGAGTTAGAGAGATGCCTGAGCAATGTGATGTTTTTGCTGGGAAGTGGGTAAAAGTTAATCTCCCTTTGCAGTAACTGGGGACAAAGGTGAAGAAAGGAAATAATAAAAATCTTACAAGGGCTGAATCTGGGATAAAAGGTAGTGGAGTATAAGTGAGCTTTTTGGGTGTGGGAGAAAGGTGTGAGGAAATAGAAGCTATGGCAAACTCACGTAGAAAGAATGACTTACATACATGTAGGATAGAGGCAGCAAGTAAAGATTTTGAGATAATGAACATGATGGGGTTGAACAGATTGCTAAAAGACAGTCAAATGTAAGAGCAAGCAGTGGGCAGGGGTCGGGGCAGAGCTGATGAACAGCCATATAAAGTAGACTATGCAGTGCTGTGGGTGGATGCATGTGTTACCAAGTGTCTGGAAAGTGATAAGGAGCTGTTTGCACCTTCTGTGTGTGGTGTGCTCTGTGTGTAGGTTGGTGCAGGCGATACTGCATATGGTGGGACATCTGGCCACATGCTCTTTTCTGCTCTTAAAAGATGCCTATATATTCTCCTCCTTTTTACCTGGGTACCCCATGATTTCTGTGCCCATGTCTTTTATTAGCATATCTTAGGAAAAATACATGCAAAGGGATAGGTGTTAAGGGACGGTGTAGTTGTATATTGATATCCAATACTGTATGATACAGCTTTGGGACTTGGGCATGTGAAATTGTTGTTAGAAGCTCTGTAAGCAACCTGAGTGTTTGGGGCAATTGCTTTAGGTTTGCAAGAGTGTGTGGGTTTTGCTATGATTTTTTTTTGTTGTTGTTTGTAATTCTAAAAATAAAAACCAAACCAAAAATACAGAGAAGAAAAATATGAAAAAATACTGAGAGGCAGAGCTCAGGTGCACTTCAGTTCAGCCCCTCTGGTGCAGCTCAGGCTTTTCTTGGAGATGAGGATGCTGCTGGAAGGATATGCTTCCATTGTCTCTGTGTGCTAATCTCTCTCAGCAGCTGTTCTTAGCCTGAGATGAAATTCTCTTTGTTTGTGACTCTGAATAACACTTGTGTTCTGCCACAGCATCTCAAGTGTGTAAATGTTAAAGTCGTTCTGCACAGAGTTCCCCTCTGGCAATGCTTAGTTTCAGATAGTATTTGGGCTTTTGGGAGGAGGTACTGGATACTCTGATTGTTGAAAATCTGCAAGACAGATAAGAGAAGAAAATTGTATAAAAGTCAAAACTAGAAATACTGGAAAGCAAATTACCCCATCTCTTCTATGCTTGGGAAATGGAGAAACCTTTCCTCTAAAAGAACAAATTAGTTAGATGTAATTGTAGCACTAAGTGCAATAAAATGGCTCTTTTTGGATGAGGTGCTGGAAAGCACCTAAAGGGAGAATTATGTATACAGAGTGATTTATTTATTTTCTTTTTTAACAGAGTTTTAAAGGAGAGAGCTCTTCGTAATTTCTTTCTTTCTTTCTTTTTTTACCTCTTCAGGACCTTCTGCAGCCCTGTGGTTGACACATGCTTGACAGCCTCCAGAGGTCCTGGCAAGATGGCATCTTCCAGACTTCCCATCTTTATAGCATTGGCATTTTCCTCTTTGCCCTTTGTTCTTTCACATTCAAACAGGGAAATGTGGTTTCAGGATTTCTTTCCACCTAATATGTGTCCTATAAATGCCAAAGCAAACACATTTTATGGCATCATGTTTGACGCAGGAAGCACTGGAACCCGCATTCATATTTATACTTTTGTGCAGAAGAGCCCAGGTAAGACCCCCATGTATGTTGACTTAGGTTCCAACTTCTCAAAACAGTTTTGTTTTTTTGCCAGCTCAGCATTTGGGAGCAGCTGAAAATTTCTAGAGTTTGTCCTTCAAATGGTCCTCCTGCAGGTGTTTATTGTCCATTTGTCTTGGTGTTTTGCTGTGTAAATACCTTTTTTGTAGGTCTTTTGAGTCTCAGTGATACAATTCTGGGTATACTGGAGAATTCGAAATTTTCAAACATTTTCATCTATGCAGCTGCTTAAAAGGAATATCTCATTGAGATAAAAAGATATGTATGCTGGTTTTGTCAGGTTGCACGTTACCTTAAATTTTATCAAGAGATACTTGAATTCTGCATATGTTTATGTTACATTTTGTAGCAAATTAAAATCAGAAAATTATTAATTACTGAAGGTCTGAGCCATTTCCAGGAGAAGTGTGCTGAGATGCACCACACTCCAGTGTGTCTGGTCTTCACATGTTGCAGAGGTGCCCAATTTTGGCTGCACGTGCAACAGGATTCAGGAGGATGAAGTAGCTTGGGTACAGTGAGCCAGCAGGTTTGCAAAGGTTGAAGACTGGTTGCTGAGACATGGCAATTGTGTGTCTTTGTGTGACTTCATCCATAGTTTGGAAGGGCTGGTACAAGGTCCAGTTGTGTTGGACTCAGCCTGGCTTGCAATGTGCAATACTCAGGGATAGCTTCTACACCCAGACTGCTCTGGGAGCAGTGGTCAAACTTGTTTGGCTTCTCAGCCAAGTACTTGAGCAGTCAGCTCTGATTTGAGTTGGATGAATCACCTAAAGATAATTGGGAATTGATGGTGTGTGTCTTAATATGCTCTAGTATTTCACAATTAGCTTAAGGCAGAAAGGGAAAGGAATTTATTAAGAATAGGCAACAGTTATGCTGCATTGTTGTAACGTAGTGTAGTTCACAAATGCTAAATTAACATATTTTTAATTATAACAACATGTTATTAATAAATTGTTTGTGAACTTGGAGGATACAAGGGAAAATTTCTGTGAAATATGTTCCTGAAGTGAAGGAGCAAGGCTTGTTTCAGGAAGGGAATAATCTTGTTTGCAAGGAGAATCAAGGATAGTCACTTCACAGGAGTTGAGGGTAACCTTTTGGAAATTAAAAAATAAAATTTGAATTGTTGACTGTATCATATGTTTTGTTTGTGCAGAAAACCTTCCAGAGGTGGAAGGGGAAATCTTTGAGTCTGTGAAGCCAGGTCTGTCTGCATATGCTGATCAGCCTGAAAAGGTAAGACTGGCCTTCATTCCCTGGGAGTTGGTCATGCTTCTGTCATATAATTTAGATTCTACCAAGTTCAAGTATTACTGATTGCAATTGCAAAAAGTCAAGAAGAAATGTAAAAGTTCTGCTGCTGTATCTCTAAACCTGTTCCTCTACTTCTGTGAGTTAAGTTCAACATGGTGAAATAGGAGCTGGTGTTTTACATATTTCATCAGTAGAACAGTGGCTTAATTAATTGCTTAAATGTTTATATAACTAGACTATATTCCTTGGAAAATTTCAAAGACAAAGTGATTTTTGTCTCTAGCAGCATCCATTTTCAGTGTTTATTTCTGCTACAGCTACCCCAAATATGAGTAAATGTAATATGAGTAAATACTCTGTCCCATTTACAAATAATTTTCTCTGTTCTGAAGTAAGCTGCCATTTTCCAGACCCCCTGCACTGACAGGAAGCTTTTTCAGAAACTAAAGGAGGTGCCAGAAAAATGATAGATAGATACGCTATTTGGTGTGCTTTAGCAGTCTTGAAGTTGTGGGCTAGCATTACAGGGATTTCAGGTTTCTCATTTTCCTCAGTTGGATTCCATGCTACAGGAATTTGAATGTGACACTTTATGGAAGAGTGAATAGATCTGGAATTTTTTGAAAAGTTTTTATAAGATCTTCTATGATTCCAGTGGAACTTGTATGTTGGGTAGGAGAGGAGAACTCAGCCCAAAAGAAATTTCTAGGCATTTCACAGGAGAATGATTATTGCTAATGCCAAACTATGATTGTTAGAGCAGTGGAAATAATTGAGAGCCGTCAGTGATGTCTGTACCTTGTGTGGTAACCATTGCACAGCTGGCATTTTAATTACAATATTTGCAATGGACACACTTGGAATTCTTATGTTGCATTTAGTGAAATCAACAGATATTTCCCCTTGTTTTGGTAGCTTCAGTCAGTAATTGGCACCATTTAGTTTCATCATACTGCAAGATGTTTAGGTTTGTCAGGTAATCAGTTCCCTCACCTCCCTCCATCCTTTCAAAAAAACCTTCCACAAACAATCATATTTGTTTTCCCTAAAATATATTTATGAATATACCTTCATTCCAATGCAGACATTCTGTTTCATGTTCTAATGAGATGTCTGGCATGGTTTTTGTACTTACTTTGAGTGTGGGTATCTTCTGCTAGTGAATACTGTTCTCACAAGTTTTGAGGGGAAACTGAGAGGCCTGTTCTCTTAACAGGCCTATAGGAGGAAGCCATATGAATAACATATTTTTCCTTTTAGGGTGCTGAAACTGTCAAAGCGTTACTGGACATGGCTGTAGATGCTGTGCCACCTCATCTCTGGAAAAAGACCCCAGTAGTGTTAAAAGCCACGGCTGGACTTCGCTTGCTGTCAGAGGAGAAAGCTCAGGCTCTGCTTTCAGAGGTAGTACTAAGTAGTTTTGGATGCACTGGTATTGTTCTCCCTGTTTCATCTTTTTTTTTTCATTCAGTTCTCTATTCTGTTTAGCATAAGAGAATTTCATATATGAAAAGAGACTGTAATCCCATTATAGCATGAAACTCACAGAGTATCTTGTCTGGTCTTGAAATTCTGTGTCTTGCTGTGGTGGAAGGCATGGAGAGAGACCTACAATACTTCTTTTCTTTCTTTGCTAGCCCCCACTTCACACACTTGTCTTAGTTTCTACTGCTATGTAAAACAAAATTTTGTCACCTTCAGAGCAGAGCAAGACCCTGAAGAGCAGGAAATCTAATCACTGTTTCTTTCCTCAGGTGAAAGAAGTCTTTGAAGAATCACCATTCCTTGTTCCAGAGGACAGTGTTGGTATCATGGACGGATCTCATGAAGGTTTGTTTTAGGAGGGGTAAAAAGTAAAAGCAAAGAGAAATGGGAAAAAGAGGCATATCTTAGGAACATGAGAGGGAAAGAGAAGCAGTCCCTAAACAAAACAGAAAAAAGAAAAGGTTTCTGGCCCTGTTTGAAACAATGCAATCCTTCCTTTCTGAGGTGGTGTTCATTACTTGGCTAGAAATGCGGATACACAAAGAGATTTCACAAGTTTCAGAACAAAACTTGGTCTCGGCAATAAGCATTGCCTGATGCAGGCTGACCAGCTGAAGCCTGCTCCTGGAAATTGGTCCAAAAGAGGTGTCCACCTCTGAAAGGCTACATGTCAATATATAGCAAGATGGGAAGCTTATGTAAAGTGCCCTGTAAATTCTGCAATATCAGCATTAAAAATAATCTATTATGATCAGCTCAGCAATTTTCAATCTAAAATTGGGAGGATTGTGAATATTAGAGGAGAATGAAGGATAATTGGCAGATATTAAATATAGATAACTAAATAATAAAATGGTAAGTTAAAAATATTCCATTGGAAAAAATACTGCTAGTAAAGTAGCAAGCAAGTACTGTAAAATATCAGAAAAGGTGAAATATGTTGCAGGTTTGGAGTGAGCAATGATTCTGCAGTACAGAGAAAAGCACAGTAACATTATGTCTACATATCCAGACATACTACCTTGGAGAATGGGCAAGTAATAATCATCTGTATGGATGCCTGATGAAAAGAGCCATCCTGTCATGTTATGTTCAGTTCAGAGCACTTCCTTATGGCAGATAAATTGGCACTTTGGAAGGTGTTGAAGGAAAGCAAGAATGATCACAGTGCTTAAACAACTAATAAATGGAGGAAGATTAAAGAAAAAAAATTGTCCACATGGGCCGAGAGAAAAGGGGCAGTATCATAAAGTCTTCAAGTACTTGATAAGTGAATAGTTTGTCACTATGGATTAATGAGTGAATTGTACAGTAGGGAAAACTGTTTTGTTGACAGGGGCAGGAGCAATGAGGCATAATAGAGCACAGGGTAGCCTGCCAAGTTTATTTAAAATCCCTACCTCTTCTGCTGTCACGTGTTTGCCTACTTTTGGGTGAGAATCATGTAGGTGTCAAGCAAGCCACTGAAGTCAAAGGAGCTGTTTGTGTTTTACTGGTTGCTGCTCTGTCTGTAGTGTAATTATAGAAACTTTAAGATTAAAACACAGAGTGGTGTGAATGCAGTTTTCAGATTAGGAATTGAAATGCTGGCCTACAAAAATAGGCCCAGAGAAACTTGTGCATTGTGTCAGCTCATTACTTCTTTGTGTGTTGTTTGGATAATAGATATGATTTATGTATGCTGCAGTTGCATGGATATTACAAAGTCCTACCTATTTGAGCTCATGAGATTTGTATGCATCATATAATTTAATTATGAGTTTGAATTAATACCTGAAGTCTGGGGTGGTTGGGTTAAGTTAGTAACGATTTCTAGGTAAGTGAATAACCTGTGGGGGGCTGGTAACAGTGGGCAGGAGATTTAGGAAGTATTTAATGGTAACTGGTTTGTTTTTTTTTTCTTTTTTTCACTCATTGCAGGAATTTTAGCCTGGATCACTGTGAACTTTTTGACAGGTAGTTAATTTTGCATAATTACTCTAAACTAGAACTTGAGTATCTTCTGTGGAGGTGATCACCTTAAGTTCCTCTGCCTTGGCCATGCTTTTCCTCCCTGCTCTCTCACCAGTGCTTAAGCAGTGGCTTGCCTTGGGCAGACTGTGTTCCAGAGTCTGTAGTAAGAAGGAGACATCTTAACCCTGAAGGTGCCAGAACTTACTCAGATTTTGGAGGCACTGGCAGGCTGGTTTCCCTAATGTGCTTTGGGGGGTGGTACTGCTAACGTGTGGGAAACATAAATTTTGCAGTGCTCTTCATCCCAGTGTTTGCTGTGCAACTACAGTGGTGCTGCAGGGCATGGTGCCTTAGCACTACTGGCTCTAAGAGCTTCTGGGAGGGCAGTCTAGCGAAAAGATAATCAATATTCTAGCAGGTAGATTAGCAAGCAAAAAAGCTGCTCTGGGTGAAGAGAAATTACAATAGCTGGTTTGGCTCTTACTGCCCTTCCTTTACCTGCTTTTGCCCAGCTATATGGTGGTTACAGAATTTGTGTACTCTCCCTGACAGTCTTCTGCAGGAGATAATTTTTCTCTTACTTTCAGCTTTTGCTTGATTTCTGGAGATTTATCTGCTTTTGTTTCTTTGGAGGAGAGATTGGAATCAAGGTAGAAAGTCTGTGAATCATTCCATAATACCTTCTTGTTTGCCTGCCTGTTCTCTCAGAGGCTTTTTCTTTGAATGGCAGCTCAGCCTTCCTTGTATTGCTGTGATACTGTGATCCCCTGGTGGCTGCCTGAACATCCACACAGCGTCTGCATTTCAGCATTTGTGCACTTGGGGCTGTTCTGAGCATGGTGTTGTTTGCAGGGCAGCTGTCTGGCCAGAACCAGCAAACTGTTGGGATTCTGGACTTGGGAGGAGCCTCAACCCAAATCACATTCCTGCCACGGTTTGAGGTGAGGAGTGGTTAAAAGTGCGTGGGTTGGGACTGCAAGGCTGGTGGAGTCACCTGAGCGCTGCTGCACTCTCTGATACCACTTTGTCAGCAGTGCTGCAAGCAGAACATCCGTGGTTTACAGAACATCTGTATTTCTGTTCCCTTTGAGATCGCAGTTGGCTGATAGGTGCTTGCAAAAAAGGAGCCTGAATGATGAGGAAATATAAAGAAAGCAAATGAGTAAAACCAGAAAGAAACAGCTTTTGTTTTCCAGACTCGGCTGGGAAAGCCTCATTAATGTTGATATTGCTGTGGATTTAACAAATATAGAACATTTATAGGTAGTATTTTTGACTATTAGAAGAAATGCAGGGGCTGGTCTATCTTTTTTTTTTCCTCATTCCAGTCAGATCTTCAGTAAGTTTTGGAGGGGAAGAGTGTTGTATAGGGTAAATTTCTTTAATAGCAGCACAGTCAGTTCTATGCTTTCTTACAATTTCTTCTCATTCCTTTTGAGCATTCTGCTCTCTGTCTGTCAGACACCTGTGCTGGATTTCTTAGTACTTCTATAGCTGTTTAGAAACAGTTTGAACTGGGACCCAAGTTTGCAGTTTGCATGAGAAAATTACATTCTGTACCTTCATACTGTGATGTGTTTATGTCACTCTGAAGGAGTCATTTGTTTAACATTTTTTTAATAGAACTTGAGATTCTCAGAGGATGTTTGGTGACCACAAAACACATGGCTTTCACATCAGGATGTTTTAATTCTGCAATTGTGTGTTATGATGAAACATGACATGCAACCTTATCCTGTTCAGCAAAGCCTCAAGTATACTCTGAGCTTGTCTTCTGTTTTGTGTTGATAACACCTGCTAAAGTGGGCACTGGACCAACGGGAAAGGGTGTTGCATGTCAGAGTTTTGGAGCATAAATAGAACTGTGAAATAGGCTGAACTGCAGCTCAGGATTCAAATGTCCCCTTCAAGCCTTGCAGGAAAAGGCCTGGAGTGTTTGCTGCTGACCAGGACTAACGGTGTGAATTTGTAGGGCAGTGTAAAGTCAAGGTTCATGCTGCCTGCTTGTACACTATGTCTGCATCTCACTGGTGTTGTCAAGTTCAAAAAAATAAGCTCAGTATGTTCTTGGGAGTTTTTCCCATCTGACAGAATTAGTGGGTGGGGGACACTTCCCTTTGATTTGCAGTGGAGATTCTTCCTTCCTGCAATGTAAGGTAGTCACATGCTTGCTCTTGTATTAATTTTGAACAAAATACTGTCATAGTAAGAAATTGGTTAATTAAATATGAATTACAAGCAAGTAGAGAACATATAATGACAACTGCATGGAGCTGATTTTTATTTCATGGCATTATTGCCAAAGCTAAAAGCAACTGAAAACCAATCATAGTAATTATGAAATTGTCTGTCTGGTGTCTGCCTCGTTTTTGTGAAAGTAGGGCATAAAAAAAGACAGTTGTTTTCTCCAAAGTAATTTTTTGAGGCTCTCTCCTAGAAATAGTTTTTGTAACGTAAGGTTTAGAAACAGAACTCAGAATATGGCAGTCTGTGTGTATGAGGCCAAGGACGTGACTGCCATTTCAGTGATAATCAGCTTGCGACCCAAAACAAATGTTGATTTGTATTTGCTCAGGAGAAGCTCAAGCTAAATACTGTCAAATTCCTTTCAGCTTTGAGCAGGCTTCTGTCTAGGACTCTAGAAAAAATAACCCAGATCTGGATCTCCTTACTTGCATGGTAACTGCAGGACTATGCAGCTTCAGTTCTCTCAGAGATTCTGCTGCTTGGCCCAGAACAATGGTGGATGATAAAGTGAATGAAAGTGCATGGAGACAAGAAGGGGTGGGAGGATGAGCCCATGAGAGGAAAGACAGAAACTGAGACTGAGAGCTCAGGGAGTGGACACAAAGAAACAGTAAATGCCTGCTGGAGCGGTTCAGCCTTACAAGAGTGTGAGTTTGTCAGGAAGCTAGGGCAGGGTACCAGTGGGATGGAGGTGAGAGGAGACTGAGAGGAAGAAACTGGAGGTGGTGAGACAAGAGGCTAATTTAGGTGAAGCAGCCCTAAGACCGGGAGTGAGTGGTCACAGTGTTTCCTTGAGTACCAGCAAGACATTTGACATGGTGAAAAAGGGGCCTATACTTTGTACTTTTAATTCTTCAGAGTACCTCAGTTTAGGTGCCTAGTGTGACTTGAAAAAATTCATAGCACTTGTAGTGCAGTGAACTACAAGGTAGTTCAGTGTAGCTGATTGTGATGGGCACTCTCTTCATGTAGAGTAACATGTAAGCATTCAAGTTTTCAACCTGAAAAATTCAGGCTACATGAATTAGAAAGCGTTTTCATCCTGATCTGTTGTGCTTCCCTGTTATACATTGAAGTAACACAAATATGCATATAAATAAAATCAGTGTTAAAAGCTGCAGATATTACAGCAGTGGCAACATTGGAAAGCTGTACTTTGTTTTCAAAGCTGATCAGATGAGTGTGCAGTAAACTGTATGGGTATAGCTGTGATATTACATTAAAATTGGTCATTCTTTATTGCATAATATAAACTGAAACATTTTTTTCTTTTACTTAACTTGTAGGAAACTCTGAAGGAAACCCCTGAGGATTTTCTTACCTCATTTGAAATGTTTAATAGCACATACAAGCTCTATACCCACAGGTGAGGAGCAAAAGACTGCTATTTCCACTGGGGAAATCAGTCTTTTTGCAGCCCCTGAGCTAACAGCCACATCAGCCTGGTACCAGCAGCAGATACCATGACTTTTTACTACTTATCTGCATGGAACAGTAGAAGTGGAACATGACATTAGTTGGCTGGAAGCGTTCCAGGATCGTGGTTAATGTCACTGAAAGAGAATATTAGGCAGTCTGTCAAATGAAGAGACAGCATTGTGAACCCATATTTAAGGAGAAGAATTCTTATTACTGGATTCAAGCCAAATATTCTGAAACAAGCAGAAAGATATTGTGCCAGTAGTCAGAACTAAAAATGATAAGAGATTTGGAAAGAGAACTTTCCTGAGACTTGGTGGAGTGAACATGACCATCTCAGCCAGTTATAGAATCTGCTCACTTGACAGCAGAGCTGTTCGAATAGTCATCCTGTCCTACTTCTTACATTTGCTGATGTAACTGACTGCTGTAGTCATCATTACAGTCCATTAGATCACCTAAAATAATTGGGATTGAAAAATCATCTTAAAAATTGAGAGAGAGCTGGAGGTTAGTTTAACTTTGAATATTCTGGAAACTTTTAAAATGACATGACAAAATTGGTAAGTGGCCAAACGCAGAGGTGGGAATGAAAGGGTCAACAGGATTTTAATCTAGCTGTGTTGCTGCAATGTGTGATGACGTTCTCATAAGGATCATTCATATTCTACCTTATAATGAATGTAGCAGTTACTTGTGGAGTCAAACCAGGTGAATTTCGCACAAAGCCACAGTTCCTATTTTGTGGGAGGTTGTGCACTGTGCCCTAAGAGTACATAATTTTGTGTGTGTTACACAGGAGTGGCTTCCCTATTCTCCGTGCACTCAGCGCATACCCTTCTTTCTCCCTCATTTTAAGGTGGTGGTTTCTTGCTTTTCATTATCATCTTGTATAAATGCCACATCAGCTCTAACCACTTCCTGCAGTTTTAGATTCACCCATTTTACAACTCCTTGTATTTCTTAGGTTTGTGTCACTCTTTTGGCCCTCAAGAGTTGCTCCAGCAAAGGGAAAGCAAAGTTGTTTCAGCTCTCTATTTTAGAGAGGGAGCCTTGTGGAAATCAGAGGAAGGAAATTTGGTTTGGGTGTTCAAGGACTTAGTAAGAGGGCTATGGGTAAAGCATATCAGATGTGCAGGAATCAAAGACTATAATGTGTGTCTTTTGTTGTTCACAGCTATTTGGGGTTTGGACTAAAAGCTGCAAGACTGGCAACGCTTGGAGCTTTGAATATGGAAGGTATGTTCATATACAAAAACATTTAAGATTTATGAAGAGATGCTTAAGACTTAGCCTTGTGTCAGCAGTCCATTTCCTGTGTATCTTCACTTCTGTATCTTGTGCTTTTCTATGTTGCTGATGGTATATATTTGTCTGAAAACAGCTACCACTTGTTAAGGGATTGTCTTCTGAGAGGGCTGCTTTTCCCTATTTTTGAGATCAGCCAGCAGTGACTGATCTCAAGTGCAAATTCCAGAAATGCACATGTGGGAGCATATAAACACCATGGCCAGCCACAAACACACAGCTTTACAGGCATCCACAGAAGCATAAGCAGCATGAGCAGATCCTTTTCCTTAGGGTTGCTGCTTGGGCCAAACCCACTTTGTAGGCCCCTCTGGTATCTGCCTGGGGTGTGGTGTTCACCAGACTTGCTGTGTGCACTGCCCTAGTCTAGATGGAAGCCCACAAGCACATCATGTGCTCTCACTCAGTAACTTGAGTGCATACTCACATTCCTGAGTCTTTCCAGTCCCTCACACTGAGCTTGGGCCTTTTGTCTAGTCTCTGGCCAGGACCTGGGGTCTTTCTGCCTTCTGGATTCTTACTTGACAACTAGATGGACTTGTGATAATTACTGGCATGTACTCAAATCAAAAATAGTTGGTAGAGATTAAGAAGAAGATAGGACAGACTGCAGTGATTGGTCTCAAGGCTGACAGAAAAGCACATGGACCAGCTGCCTGCTTACTTCTGACTGTCTTCTTTTATAGTCCCCTCTGGTTTGCCATACCTGCACTTCCCTGAACCCTTAATTCCTGCTTTTCCCAGCCTTTGAGCCTTTCCCTAAGCATCCCATAGCAAATATTGCTGTCCCAGAGTCTGCCTCAAGCATACTGTTACAAGTTTGCTTTTTCTGTAAGACCTGTGTGTGCAGCAATAATCATGTTTTCTTCTTATCAGTTCCAGTATTTCTAGTTAAACCCCTTAAAGGTACATTCAGTAGATCCTGTAGTGGTCATTGATCTCTGTCTTAGGAGGTTTTCTCTTCATTTCTTACTTGCTTTGTTTGTCTTAGTTATCTGCTGTCATATGGGTTTGTGCATCTGTGTGTTTATTACCTCTCATTTATTTTCTTTTGTGGTGAATAGCCATTATCCAGAGACCATTGTACCATTAATCTCATTAAGAAATGACAAGCCTGGCTGCTCTGCTGTTTGCAGGACAAAACGGACACAACTTTTCCAGACTTGAGATCGGTCCTTCATTTGTAATCAGTTAGTGCTACATCCATCAATTCGGGTTTTTGTACTTTCACTTAAAGACTTTAATGAAGATCTTTCAGCCTTTTCTAGTTCTGCATATTGATTTAGAGCTATGTTAAATTCTGTGTTTTCTGATTCTCCTCACTGCTCTCTTTCCAGTTGTGGATGGGCAAATGTTCCGCAGTTCTTGTTTGCCTAAGCAGTTGGAAGCAGAGTGGCACTTTGGGGGAGTCAAATATCAGTATGGTGGCAACAAAGAAGGTAAATTAAGGAGACTTGTTTCTTTTACAGTAATCTCCAGAATCTGAGTTTTTCCTTGTCAAACATTTCCTCAGTTAACTGATGGTGATTGGGATATGAAGGATATCTGTTCAGTTGCAAAGGTTGACTTCTGAGAAATCTAGATTAAAATCTGAAGCTGTAAGAGTATCTGACGTGCACCCCTGTCCTCTGACTGATCTCTTATTACAAATCATACCTTTATAGGAAATGTTTAGAATTACTTGTGCAAATAAGAGAGGTTTTTCTGAGGCTTTGAGCAAAGTGCAAAAATTGTTTGGGATAAAACATTTTGGCTTACCAGTTAATCTTACCTGTGGAACTGTTTCTTAAGTCTCTAATAATAATGAGTCTCTAATGCTGCGTAGAGAGGGTGAGTCTGCTGCCATCATAGACTTGAACAGACTGGGGACATGAGAGCTGAATTGCAGATTTGGTGTGTGTGGAGTATGTTGGTAAAATTACAATGTTATGGGGAGAGAAAGCAAGGTTTTATCTAACAAGTGGTAGCAAATGTAGAAGATTCTGCTGGCCACAGAACATGTCAATGGGAGTTTTGTCTGCCATGGAAGTAGTTTGTGTCTTTCAGACACAGTAATGATCTGCTTTAACCAGTTCTACTTGATGAGGGGCTTTTAGAGTTCTTGCCTATGTATAGATGCCATGTTGGATTACAGAAGGGATATCTAAGCTCTTGTTCTGATGCTTTAATCTCTGCTTTTTTAATTTTTCATCCTCTTGCCACTATTTCTTCCATCTCTTGCACATGCTCTTTGGCTCACCCTGTCTGTTTTTCCTGACAGGAGAAACAGGATTCAAGCCTTGCTACTTGGAAGTACTCAAGGTTGTCAAAGGGAAACTTCACCAACCAGATGAGATTCGTAGAAGTTCCTTCTATGCTTTCTCCTATTACTATGATCGAGCGGCTGACACCAACCTAATCGGTAAATTTTGGATAATTTACTACATGTGAGCATGTCATCCAGAGGTAGACAGAGGAACCCTGGCAGCTGGAGCCATGGGGAGCAGAAGAAAATAATGTTATTGAGAAAGAGGAGATACACAAAATGCCTTGAGGGAATGGCATTCATCTGTCACTTCAGTTTGGTATTCAGCACATGAAATCTGCTCAGGGCTCCAGTTACACCTGCACCTCTGTCTTCTGTTCCAAGCAGGTCTCACTCCTAGTGCAGCATCCCTGAGTTACACTCTAGGGTCATCTTAGATAAATAATTCAAATGCTGTCAGGTCTATGATGATGTTTTCTCACATCTTTTTCAGATTATGAACGCGGAGGTGTTTTGGAAGTGAGAAATTTTGAGAGAAAAGCCAAAGAAGGTAATTGTCATGAGCTGGGAAACTGGTTTGGACAAGAAATAACAAAAATACGAATGTGTAGGCAGTACATAATATGACTTGGAAGAAATGCAAACTTATTTAACCTTTATTTCATTTACACCTGTCGTTTTATTTTTATTAGTCAAAGACCCTAATGCAGAAGACAATACTGATAGAGCAGTGAGGGCTTGGTGGCTTTACAGCTCTTTTCAGGAGGAGGAGTTAGTTCATAGAGTCACTACAAAAGAAGGTGAATTTGCTGCATCAAGAGCTCCTTCTGGCAAACTGCAATTCTCTGAGTTTAAGAGAGCACTGAATTCTCTGTCACCTTAAATCCTATTTAATCTCTAGCAAAATGGAGTGAGATAGTAAAGGGCTTTTAAGTCTGACAGTCTCTTCCACATTTCTTTACCTCCCCCTGTCTTTCCTCTTGAATGCTTGTTCTAGTTTTATACCTCCTGTGAATAAGGAGTTTCCAACGTGCCTCGCTGCTGATGGCTAAAAGCAAGTTACCTCTGTACAGTGATCATTCTCAAGAAAATGAGAAGACCATATTTTTCAGCAGAAAATGCTTATTTACATAGCTCAGGACTGACTTTTTTCCTAAAATAAGGTCTAAATTTTAATGATTTTTCAGCTAAACTTAATCTCCCTGGAAACTTGGATGATTTTGAATAAGGGGATTAGGCTCAAAAGTTTGAGTGTGGGTTGGTTGTTATTTTTTGCCTGGATAGTGAGAGAGCTTATTTCCAAAGACACGGCTAAGATGTTACCTAACATTATCAAACCACTTACTTAGCTTTAGACCATCAGGAGATCAATTCTGTGATCCTGAACTAATTCTTCTCTATCTCATTTCAATAGTAGACGGATGCTGCTCATCTTTTCTTAGAAGGAAGTGAACTCTGCTCTTGCTGCCAGTAGAACAGGGCAGTAACAGTAGATATAGAAAATTAAGCTTAGTGTAAATACATTTCCCAGTCACTGTCACCCTGACTATGGAATCTTGACTTAGCTGCAGTGAGGGAGTGGTTGGTTGGGCAATATCCTCTTCCATTTCCTTGCACAAGTGTGGTTGGAAAAAATAAAATAAACTGCCATCCTAGAAGGTAGAATCCATTTTACTGGATCCATCCATGCAACAGACATGATCAAAACAAATTATGCTGTGTTCTTGAAAAAGTAATTAATCTAAGGCCCTGCTAGTTATCAGTTGAGCAGGGGTTCTTCAGAAGAGCTGTGTGGATTATGTTGCTGTAATACAAGATGTAGTTAAGAGAAACTGGATCTACTATATGGTTTATTCTCCAACATTGTTGAACAGCTCTGTAGCATGTACCATGTGTCATATATAACCATAATAGAAGAGGGTGGCTTGTTTTAGTAAGCTTTGGCTTGAGTTCAATTCAAATGTACAATGTGGATAAAAGCTCTTATTTTGCAGAGATCCCTTTTTTTTTTCTTTTTCCTTCTCTAGTCTGTGATAACATGGAGAGGTACAGCTCAGCCAGTCCTTTCCTCTGCATGGATCTCACTTACATCACTGCTTTATTAAAGGAAGGTTTTGGATTTAGGGACAACACAGTCTTAAAGGTGAGGAAAAACCAGTTAAATCCCTATAAATTAAAATGCATTAGTTCATTTTTTTGACTAACTATCTACTGAACCTTTCCAGATTTGTAATATGCAGTTGCTGTCATTTGTGCAACTTACGAATCTAGAGAACTGTGAGGAACAACTTGTTTTTCTTCCTTTATAGTTGACAAAGAAAGTAAACAACATAGAGACAAGCTGGACTTTGGGTGCTACCTTTTACCTGCTGCAGTCTCTGGGGATGACTTACTGACCTGTGATACTGCTATGGACTTTAGCATTTCTGAAAATGCTGAGAAAGTAAATTGCACTCTCCAGGTACGTTGTTCAGCTGGGACTGGTCACAGAGCAGAACATGGACCAAAGACACATGACAGCTCTTTATGCTGGATTGGCATTGTGCCTAATGAGAGTATGATTTATAACTGTGATTGCCATAAATGATCCAGAATCTGCCTTAAGAAAGTCAAAAGGTCTAAACTCCAGTGGAGAATATGCAAGGGGCTCAAAAACCAGCTTTCACCAGCAAGTTTGTTAGAAGCACAGAGTTCCTGGATGTGGTGGCAGACTACAGACACGTGACTTTCCCTACCCCCTTCTATTTTAAACATACATAACTTAAGTTTGCTTGTGAGATGTTAAATACAGAAATTAGAAATAGCATCAACAGTGATGCAGAGAATAGTGAACAGCTCTGGATGCTGCCAACCTCAGTGTTCCAAGAATCCAGCTGCTAGCTTAGCAAATACATGGCAAGAATATTCCAGTCTTTCAAGAAGGGCCTGCTGTAAGTCCACTTTGGGCATGGTTTTGGGAAAGGTGTTGGCTAAAACATAGCAATTTACCAATTACTGTTTTTAGGCAGTAGGCACTTCCTAAGCAGAATGTGCGCCTGTGTTTCAGTTTTGCTGCCCTTTACAAGTCTGTGCAGCTACACCATACATCCAACTACCAGACTTGATAAATTTATTCATTTGGCATGTAGTCATAACACATAGTTGTGCTGGCACAACGAGGCAGCAGTGCCAGCTATTGAAACTCAACTGCCAGAAGAAGAGCTTGTCACATTCCACCCACAAGGAGATTGCAGTCAGATGAAATGGCTGCTCTGACAGCTCACTTAGCTGTGAGAGCCAGTTCTGTTTCTCTGCTCTCAGCAAGGCATACCCACAGCCTTCTTCCCTCTGCTGCTGGTGCTCCTGGGATTCTTGTGTGAACTGATTCAGGACACCTGACCTGAGGTGGTGCTCACCCAAGAGTCAAGTCTAGTGTTATCCCAAGGACAGCAGTCCCTTTTGCTGGAGTGAGCTCTAAGATGTGGTCTCATCCCCATCCATTGCCCTAAGTAAAAACAGCTGTAGAGACTTTTTCCACCCCATTAAATAATTGGCAGCTTGCTACTGTCTTCACTTCTTCAAGGAATGTGTGAGGTAAGGGTGAGTTTACCCCATCACAATGAAGAGGTATTACTCATGTGACTAAGGGAAACTTATCTACTGATGTCTTGTCATGAACATTTCCCTGTTGGGCAGTTGCAGTTACCCAACTGTCCCAGTTGCAATTGCTCTAAAACAACTTTCCCACTTCTGTCAAACCAAAGACTGCCTTTATGCTGCCTTCTCTGCAAACTGGATTTGAAAATAATTGGTAATTCCCAGCAAGGGAATGAAGTAGTACACTCATGTCTTCAATGGTCTTGCCAAACAGTTTGGAGACTTAAAGATTTGCCTTACTGTGAACATTAGTCCTTTTCCTCTAGTTAGCAGTGCAAGTTTGCCTATGGTTGATTAAGCCACCGCTTCTCATATCTCAGGTTTTACAGCACGAAGGGTGCAAGGCGTGCTTTTGATTGAACAAGTTCAATCAGCAACAAGAAGCCAAGGGTTAGGGATGCAGCCCTCCATACTTATCTCATCACTGACACTTTGTCATAAATTCAGGCTGCTTTTCTGAAACAGAAAATGCTCCTCCTACACGTGTAATCCTTACCAGAATCTGTTTGAGATCCACATTGAGAAATTCACACCAAAGTTCTGTTCCTTCCTCTCTAGAAGTTTGTTTGAACATGAAGAAAGTAATCGTGGCCTCTTCTCAATGATAAACATTTCTTATTCCTCTTCCTACTGTTGGCAAAACTTTGATATATGGTTTGGTCTACAGAACAAGGTGACTGCAAATGTATTCATTTTGTCTTCAGTGAACACTTCTGTATTCTCAAAAAACAAAAGTAGGATGCAGTGGTTAACTGGCCAGGCTGCATTATCCTGAGAACAAGCTAATTTAATCATCTAGAAATCCTCTTTCAGCTGGCAGCAGTGAGGCTGGGTTTTGAAGGTGGGATGCGCCTAAGGGAGAAGCAGTAGCATTATCTGCCCCCTGAACAGACACAAGCCCTGAGGAGGGCTCAGGGGTTGGGTTTTGTCTGAAGCAAGGAGGGGCTAGAAGAAGGGTACCATGCAGAGGAAGTTGTTTTTTCTGCATTCTTCTCCTCAGACTCTGGTACTACAAATGCTAGGGGGGCGCATCTGCTTCTCAGTACCAAAGTTGCATTTAATCTGAATGCTCAGGGCCTTCATTTGTCAGTGGCACAATTCATTAACTGAAGCAGAACTTCTGCTCTCTGTTACTGGCATGATCCTTCAGTTATGGGAGAAACAAGAACTCTGTTAAAAGGCTTATTTTTGCAAGAAACTGCGGAATTGAGCCCCTGCTGTTTACATCTGAACCCAAGAGGGTGAGGGAATCTGGCCAACCCAGTCAAGTCCTCACACTTACCCTAGTGCAATGAGATTATTTATTAGCTAAATTAAAGAATAAGCAGCCTTTTAAGAGAACAGCTCTACTTGCAGCCCTGATTTTTATCTCCTCCTTTGTAATGTCCTTGAGCCAGCCACTAACAAGAACTGTCTAATATGAGTGACTGCAGAAGCACAAGTAATGGCTTTCACTTCAAAACTTACATTTCATTCTTTCTGATACTGGTCACCCATATGTATAAATCTTTCCCATGGGCAGTGCTTAGTTTAATTTTGAGTGGCAAATGTCTAATGCAAAAGGCTGGTGTTTGGAACTGAAGACAGAGTATCTTGAATTGTCTATTTTAGTAATTAAAGCATTTTTAACAATATTCAAGATGTTGTGGTATAGTTTTCTTTCCTGGATATTATTGTTGCCTTGTATCTTTATCATATTTCCTTGTATCTTTTAAGACTAGCCAGTTCCACAAGTAACACCATTATTAAATAAAGCACCAAGAGAAAGGCAGGGAAAAGGGTGAGAGAATGACAGTTTTAAAATATATCTGCAACCATCTCTCTCTGCTGCAAAATACCCCTTCTGTCTGAGCTGAGGTGCCAAGAACCCAGGAGTAACTTTACAGCTCTAGAAATCATATCAGAAGAAACTGAAAGTAATTAAGCAGCAAAAGCTGTTATAAATTAGCCAGCAGCTGGCAAAATTCAGCACTGTGTTTGCCAAACGACAGACAGCTGTTTTCACCTCATTCTTCAATTCATGAGGCCGAAATTAAAAGCACATACTACACTTAGTTCTGTGGCTAAAGACATCATGGTATTATGGGAATAAACCCTAAATCCCTTTGAGGAAGGCAAATGAGACAGCTTTTGCATAAACCAGTGGATGGGGTAATACACAGTTCTGTCCCTCAGTTTTATTGTAAATGAAAATAACAATTCAAATATTCAAGTCAGTCACAGTCCTTTCAAGGGCAATGTATTCATAGGCAAGCTGCTGACAGGCAGACTGACAATAGATCACTTGCTGGCAAAAGCCATGATTTGCTCCTAAAAGAGAAGAAAATGAGAAGTAATTCATAAGTGTGTGTTTTAGAAAGAACCTTTAGGCGCATTCCCTTTCCTATAAACGAACAACAGTTCTTGGCTAGTCTTTCTAGCCATGTGCAGAGAACCTTTCCCTATGTCCTTCCCAAGTAACACAAATTTGGTATTATGAATGGGTTCTGTGCTCAGAAAAGTCATCTTTGTTTGTTTTTTCCTTTTAAACAGAGAAAGAGGAAAAAAAATTCTGAGCACTGAAGCAGCAGCATAGTCTTCCTTAATGAAGACACCATGCCAGTGGCAGCTGCTCTGCCTTAGGAATGTACTGATTTTCAATTGAGGAAGTGTCTCAACTGTGACCATAACACAAAGGAAACAGGGCACCTGGTGTTTAATATAAAGAAGGAGAATAAATGAAAGAAAAATTGAAATCCAAAAATGAGAATCTAATGTGCTGGTGCTTGGGAGCTTTGAGAGCAGATGGCTTAAGTAACCTCACAAAAATCCAGCAACTAGATCAAGAGGATGAGAAGTTCAGGCAGGCTGCAAATAGAGGGTCTAAGACAGAAACTCCTCACCACTGCCTTCCTCAGGTAATTTCCATTATAGAGACTTGAACTTCTGCCATGAGGGAACAATTCACAAGGCACACCAGCACAGAAACACCAGTTAAGTGTGAGCTGCACATTGTATCTGTAAAGTCACCCAATCCCTTAGTGAAGATGTGTCTTCAAAAGCCTGTTTTCTCTGTGCATTGCTGGAATTCAATTCAAGGTTTAACATTTTAATTCCATAGCAAAATAAAGCCAAAGACTTCTGATTACCTCTAACTCCTAATTACTGATACAGAATAAAAGACACTTAGATCTTTTATATTCCCTTGTGCTGCAGGGGAAAAAAATCACTACTGAGCTATCAGTTGTTTAGGAACTCCTCAGGCCCATTCAGGACACAAACCCCCCCAGTTTAAACTAGTATTTTCCAACAAAAAATGTTTCATTTAAAACAAAGATCTTTACATCTTGTGCATATTTCACTAATAGTTTTGGACAATTCCTACAGCCCTCACTGAAGTGAGATCCTTACTTTGACAGGAGGCAGGGCATTTGTTGCTTGCAATCCCCATGTTCTCAGCAACACCAGAGGAGCCAGTGTTGTAGAGTAAAGCCTTTTTAGCACATCAGTAGCAGCTATCAAGGAGACGTTATGCCTCTGACGTTCTGTTTCAAACTTGAGGAGGTGTTTTAAGGAGCCTGGAAGAGATAATTCAATGTTTCTGTTACACTTGATGTGCCACAAACAATTGTGCATCTTATCTATAGAGCATTTTTCTCTGGAATGGAAAGAGAACAGAGAAATGGTCCATTTCAATAAAGATCTCTTTCCACCAGGTAGTGCTCTTCGTCTCACCACATCTCTAACTGCTATCCTGCAAGCTTTATTTTTTTTAAAGCAGCTTTAAGATTCGTGGGATGGAAACTGCATCCAGAAATCGTGAACTGCTTCACAGCCAATTGACATCAGAATAGCTTCACTTTAACAAATTTTCAAACACAACACAGCAGCATGCTTAACCAGAGGTACTGCAGCAAAGGCCTGGAAGACTAATCCTTTACTGCCCTTGTGTTAGCTTGGATCCTTACCCAGATCACTCCCGTTGAAGGCTGCTGCACTGAGGTGATGAGCTAAACATGCAATATCACCAAAGCCCAGGTTCACTCCTTGTCCTGCAAGTGGGTGGACTCTGTGTGCTGCATCCCTGGAACAAGAGAAGACAGAAGTTTATTTCCCTTCTTGAAGAAGCTACAGTGGCTGACAAACTCCATAAGGGATCAGTGTAGCACTCCTCACCTCTTTGCAATGAACCACCTTAGAGCAGCATATGCACTTTATCCAGTACCTCCTTGCATGCTATGCTGAACTACCTGACTGCCTCTCCAGTTGTAAGAAGCAAGACATAGGGGAGGTAACAAAAAGCAGGTCTGAAAGGAAAAATTATAAAGAAGTGACTAGCCAAAGTCCTCTCAGATCACACGTGGAACAGGACTTTATGTTTCTGTAAGTGACCTCAGCACAACAGGACACAGCACAACAATGGCACATTGCACAAACACAGAGGGGACAGACATCATGAGTATAAGGGAGAGGTGGGATTATCATTGAATAGAAACAAAATTGGGCTCTTCTGTGGACAGACTTCTCTGCAAAGCTTAAAGACAAACATTGATATGGGAGTCACAAAGTTAGAGAAATTAAATGAAGTTTTGATATTAAATGTAAGATCATGTGCTTTACCAAGCTATAAAGCACAGCATGCTCCCAAGCATAGGGTGGTTCACAGGTTGGATAGATGAAAAGTGTACCACACAAAAGGGTAGCTCAGCATCCAAGAATTACTAAAATCTACCACCACACTGCAGCTGGGGCAGACAAGAAAGTACATGTGACCTTAGAATATAAGACACGAGGTAATTTTCCTGTTTGAAGAGGCCACCATACAAAAGTCTCTGACATCCCACATGGAGTAATTTTTGTCATTTGTGTTTAAAAAAGGTGAGTTTAAAACTAACTCAAAGTGGTGCACAGAATGGCTGGTACAACATAAGGAAAAGTACAGCTCCATCATGATATACTGGATTGTTTCACTGGATTGTACAAACCAGGAAAGGGAAATAATTATCTTTCAATTTACACCGAAAGCACAGATAATCGGCAGAAAGCTATTCATACAAAAGGATGTGAGGGCACACAGAACAAACTCGATCTGGGTAGAGTCAAACTGGAACAATGTGTCACTTCTAACATCTAATTTGTTGTCTGGGTGTTGCTGTCCTCACATCCCTTCTAACCACATGCCACCCGCTCACCCAAGGGCTGCCACTGAGGACCTTACCCGATAAGAGCCACACGGTGCTGGACATACTCTGTCGCATGGCCCATTCCAAGAGGGAACATGGCTCGGCTCTCTGGATCTACTTTAGCAACACTTGGGGGCAGCTGACGGACTGCAGTCCCTGAGGGCTTCAGGAGTGAAATGGCAGAACGAAACATGGCCCCAGCAGTGTCAATGAAGTCAGAGTGGTTTATGTTGCTCCACTGAAACAGACAAACAAATCTTTGGAAGCTGACCCGAACTAGACCCATAAAAGAACCCAGCCAAAAAAAAATCTGAGTTCTAAATACTGAATTTTAACCACTTGGACAAAACTATACAGTAGAAAAAACTATCTTCACCATTTTGGGACATACAAATTTCCAACTAGGATAAGCATACTCTTCTTACCTTTGGAAATTTAGGTTAATTTCTTTTTCTTTCAGAACTAACCTAATTTAGTCCCAAGGGGTCATCTTTCTTTGCTAAGTCCCCCATTAGTATCATTCTCACCAGAGGAAGCAACTTCAGAATCTACCTGTCCCATTACTGTTGTTTAAGCTACAGAATTCCATTCTAAAACTCTCTTCCCGGTCACGAGGCTGATACTCACAAAGGCAGAGTTGATGCTATCCACAAAGCTTTCCTCATCCATAGCAACAAGTTCTGATGCATGGTCATGAGATGTAGACCAGACCAGAGAGCTGGCAGTGTCAGACAGCTAGTTTAAGAGAATGTCAGTAGTAAATATCAAAAGAAGCAAAAAAAAAAATACTCAGTGCAAAGATTTCCCTACTGCCCTGCCTCACCCTGTCAGTCCCTCTGAAAATTACAGTTCCAGCCCAACTTGTTACAAATGGGAAATGCCAAGGATAAAGTGAGACGGCAGGAGGGGAAAGCACAATAAATGAGTGGAGGGCAGATAGGAAAGTTCTTAAGAGACAGAACCAATACAGAAAGGCATGGACACAAATAAAGTTACTAGAGTACAAAAATTTTTAAAAACATTTAAAAAAATAGACACCTTACCGGAAGAAGCGCAATTGGCCCGGTGGGAAGGAACCGCTGCCATGCTACATTGTTGTCTGTGGGCTACAGTGGAAAGAAGCAAGTGGACAGCAAGACAGATCATTCTCTTAGGTTCTGCTGGTTATGGAAGAGTCAGTTGAGCAGAATTTTACCTCAGATAAATGGAGAGTTGCCACCACAGCTGACTGGTCATACTGATGTTCAATGTTCTTAATTTCAGCTTCCTTCCGGACCAGAGAGTTATGACCATCTGCACCAATCTGTAAAAAGAAGAGATGCAAAGCAACTTCTTCAGCAGCTCGTAAAAAGATTAGGAGCTATTACTTCACTCTAAAATCCTCAGCCTCCATCTGTGTATTGTCTGTTCATTCAGAAAAAAAAAAAAAAAATCCCCTCAATACCAGAAGAGGAGGCCCCTTCTGCTACTCTTGAATTCAGCAGCATCTCCTTGCACCCGGCAGAGAGAAGGCAATGGCCAGTGTCCCACACCCTCTCTGACAGGGTTAGCCACTCACCTCACTCTAGCACTCCACATGGGCAGAGCGGCACACATGGAATTGGAACCAAATCCAGTGGAAAGGATTTGGGTTAGAGATGATTCCTTATCAAAAGAAATAAAGAGTTTAGTTACCAGCAGCTTGGTCTGAAGTCTGCGTCCATCAGCTAACTCAACTTGGACCCAAGGGCTTGTGTCACAGCCATGGGAAGGAAGGGGCCAGGTGTACCCAACTGCTTTGCTCCTGTAGAAAACATCCACCCGATCTGATGGGAACACAGAGTACCATGGTCACAGCAGGACATGGACAGGAAAAAAGGAAACATCACTAGAACAGCCAAGGCCACGCGTGTCTTAACAGCACCCTAGGAGCTTACCCTACAATTCTCAAGGCATCCTGAGAAAACAGATATGGACAGCCCCTTGTCACTGTAAGGCCTGCTCTGGACAAGGAGATACAAATTTTTTAATTAAGTCCAATTCTGGAGAGACTGTATTCTGAAGAACTACATATGCAAGTGCTTTCCTGCTCTGTAGCCTTTGGAAGTCAGATTTCTCCCTCCCTTCCCAATGACAGAAGCTGCCCATTTCTCCAGAGTTACTTGTTAGACAAACTTCTCCCTCTCAAGACTTAGCACACAATAGAAGGCAAGTAACTGAAAGCTACCTGCAGGAAATAAAACATTGAAGAAGTTGTCCACTACCTGCTACTGCATCTAACTGTTTTGTGAGAGCAGACATAATGACATCATTCTCCACTATGTAACCCATGTCATCTAAGTCATCTTTCTCAAAAACGATCATGGCTTCTGAACAAGCATCCCACACCTACAAAGAAAAAATACATTACATAAAACGATGTGATAAAGAAGTCCATTTCAGGAACTTAACAGCAAAAAGACACAGGAATCTAGGAACACAGAACTAAAGGAAACATCCTGGATTACTGTCCATTCCCAGCTACAAAAGTGCACCAAAAAACTAATTTCATTAAATTATTTAGCTTAAGCTCAAAAAGTAATTCCAAGTCAAGTTTTTCATCCCTTCTTTTCTGTTTCATAATTGACATATGGAGCTATGCTACAACCTTGCTGTAGGTTAACCCTAGCAGGCAGCTCAGCCCCATGCAGCTGCTTCCTTACTCCCCTGCACTGGGGTGGGGAAGAAAACTGGAAGGTGAAACTCATGGCTAGAGGTAAATGCAGTTTAATAGGAAAGGCAAAAGCCACATGTTCAAGCAAAGCAAACCAAGGAATTAATTCACTGCTTCCCAAGGGTAAGCATGTGTTTAGCCATCTCCAGGAGAGGAGGGCCCCATCAAGCATAATGGTTACTTGGGAAGGCAAACATCATCACTCCAAACTTCCCATCCTTCTTTCTTTTCCTCAGCTTTTATTGCTGAGCATGACAGCATATGGTATGGATTATCAGCCAGGGTCAGTTGTCCAGCCTGTGTACCTTCCCAGCTTCTTGTGCATCTCCAGCCTGCTCGCTGGCAGGACAGTGTGAGAAACCCTTGGCACTGTGTAAGCACTGCTCAGCAATAACTAAAACATCCCTGTGTTATCAAGTTTTCAACACAAATCTGAAACACTGTCCCATACAAGCCACCATGAAGAAAAGAAACTCTCTCCCAGCCAAACCAATACACCCTTTACCATTATTTCCTGCTAATACCCAAACCTCAACATCTACAGCTGCCATTAGGAATCCACCTTTCAGCCTGTAACATCAAGACCCCGAGGACAGGTATTTCTGAGCAGACTGGTACCCACAAAAAAGGAACAGAAATGAACATAAGCATGACCTGCCCTTTACCATAGAAAGAAACCCCTTTGTGTCATTGATGCAAGTACTTTTGAGAATTCAGATAGACAGACACGTGCAGCTCTAAGTCAGACACCTGCATTCGCCGGAATGGTTTAAGTCTCAGGCTGCAGACATGATCCCAGGCACCACAACCTGAAATAGAAAAAGGATAGAAATACATGGAGATACAGGTTCACGTGGGACATTGAGACCAAAACAAAACTGAAGCTCACTCCACACTCTCCTCTACCCTTCCCTGACTATGCTCAGGCTTGGTTTGCACAATCTCTAGACAGTGCCAGATCTGCCTCAGTGCTATCACGGCTCTGGAATCACATTGTTTTACTGTTAACACAAGGCAGCAGGAAAGAAACAAGCTCTCCATGAACCTCTGATCTAACAGACAACTTTCACTGTCCCATCACTGGGTAACAAAACAGACACAGAAATGCACAGCCATTATGGTAGAGAACATTTCTTTCTCCTTAAGGAATCAAACCTCAAATAACTCTTTAAAATGACAATTAATCTTCATTAATTGAGGACTGAGTTACCAGACCACAAAGCTTTATTTATGAATAGAACATTCCAAGTGCTGTAGAGAGCACCTTACAACCTTTCACTAATATAAAGTCACAAATACTTATATAGTAACAAATCAAACCAAGATACCAGAACACAGGTCCTTGTTATCAAGGGAATTTGGATTTAATAACCACAACTCAGCATGTAGAGACAAAGGCAAATAATCCTACTGATATTAGGGCAGAGGCAACACATGGTCAAAAGAAAAAACTCAAAAAAAAAAGTTAAAAATGCAAACAACAAAATCATACTTACTGCTTAGGAGGGTTGCTGATCCTGGGGAGATGGAACTGACCCTGTTGCTGTAACTGTCTGGCATGTGATCATATTCTTTCCTAGGACCAGCCTCCAGCAAAGCAATCTTTTTATCATGGAAGTGGATGTCATGCCCTAAAATAAGCAAATACATGCTTTGTTACAATGCTCCTGCCAAAAATCTCAAAAACTAAACACCTGAGTTTTTGTGGTAAGACAGAATAGATGTAACACTTAATAAAGAAATACATATACAATACAGGTTTTGACCAGGCAGGGTAACTTTTGTATGTTAAAACTTTATGACTACAGTCCTGTTACTGAGATGGACAACTCTTTTGCAGTTAAAGCAAGGATTACATACTTCCCTTTTACATAAAGCTTATATATTTGTACAAATTTATGTCATTTTTAAATGAAAATTTATTACTAGAGTATTATCAAGTGCAATCTGCAAAGTTTATTCCATGTTTACTCCAGAACACGTTTTCCAGAGCTTTAATATAAATTCTCCTTTTAGAATAAGAGATCAAAATAAAACTGTGATATGTAGCAATTATGTTAATATTTTGTCTGTTCTTACAAAATGACAATGGGATATCACAGGCAGTTTAGACTTTAAACTTCCAGTTAAAAAGAACTGAAAAAAAAAAGAAGACCCAAGTAAAGTGCAAAACACTGCAGCTGAGCTGGCCATGCTTGCAGCATCCCAACCACTACAGATGCAGAAGGCATTTAGGACAGAAGTAGTGCCCTTGCAACATCTCGAGTCTTCAGCAGCCCTGAGACAGCAGTGTCCTGGCATATTTTCTAGATTATGCACAGCAATAACCTCGTCTCCTGAGAGGTCCCAAACCTGCCTGTCAGCCTTACGTAACACTGCTGGAGGGGATCCTTATGCCCTGTCAAATCTACTGGGCTCTTGTTTAACAATACAAGCAGAACTTAAGTTTGCAAGGTAAATCCTTATACTTGCAAAGCTCTTATTCTCGGGATCTTTGATCTTCTGGGCACTATTTTTTTTTTAGCTTTTGTCACTACTGCACTCTTCTGAATCCATGTTGAAAACAAAGGCGCAGTCAGTACTCTCAGGATCTCCAATGATACAAAGCAAGCAGAAATAACTTGCTATTCCAATGTTTAAAATACAGGGTTAGACAATGAAATTCAGGATCAGATAATAATGATTAGGGGGATGGAGAACATCTCCTCCAAGGAAAGACTGAGCAAACTGGGTTTGTTCAGCCTGGAAAAGAGATGGCTTAGGGATGGCTGAATTGTGGCCTTACAGTACCTGGAGAGAGCCAACAAGAAAGACAAAAAAGGGACTTTTTACAAGGTCATGTAGTGACAGGACAAGGGAAAATGGATTCAAAGTGAAAGAGAGTAGGCTTAGATTAGATATTAGAAGGAAGTTCTTTGCTGTGAGGATGGTGAGACACTGGAACAGGTTGCTCAGAGAAACTGTAAATGTTCCAACCCTGGAGGTGTTTGAGGCCAGACTGGATGTGGCTCGGACCAACCTGGTCTATGGAAATTGTCCCTGCACACAGCAGAGGGTTGGAACTAGGTGATATTTAAAGTCCCTTCCAACCCATTCTATGATTCTAAAATCATAAAAGCATTTTAGTCATGGGTGACATTATGTATCAGGATGAGCAAGTTTGACAGAAACACCATAGCCTATAAAACTGTAGTTAATGGCCCCATTAACAGGTGTGCACACACACAGATACAGCTCACCAAACAGCCTTAGGTCAGCTTTAGAGCGCCGTCACACGAGGCGCAGGATCAAGGATCCCTCAGCAGGACCCTGGACACTGAGGTCCTGTACACGCTTATCTCCCACTGCGGGTGAGCGGGTCACAGCCTTACCCAGCACGGCGGCCATGGCGCTCCCGACCATGCCCCCGCCCGACACCAGCACGTCGTAGAGCGGCGGGGCGGAGGCGGCGGCGCGGAGCGGGGCGCGGGGCCCGGCCCCGAGGCGCGCTGCGAGCGGGGCCAGCAGCGCCCGCCCGCGCAGGGCCGCCATCGCCGCGGAACTGACGGCGGCGGAAGCGGCGCCGCGGCACCATGACAACGCTGCGCGCGCCGCCGGCCTCGCCTCTGATTGGCTGCCTGATGCCAGGTGGGCGGGCCCGAGCGGCGCCGGCCGCGCTGATTGGTGCAGGCCGGGGCGGGGCGGGCTGAGGCGGCGGCCCGCGGTCGAGCGGGGGCCCGGCCGCGGAGCTCCCGGGCGGGGAGGCGGGTTCGCAAGCCCAAAACCAGCAACTTCCCGATTTGTTTCGTTTTTTCCAGGTGACGCGACATCGCCTCAGGCTGTAACACGCCGAGTCCTGCGTTTCCCGCCGCCGGGCAAGGAGCTGGGAGCATCCTATCGGGATGGGGGGCCGGCGGTCTCCGTTAGAACCGGGCGTACCGTGCCAGGCAGAGTTATGGGGTGACCTCGGGGTGTTCGAAGAAGATGAGGAGCTGGAGGGTTTCAGGAGGGAGGCGGAAGTTCTGCGTGAGAAGCTGAGGGAGGCTCTCAGGTAGGACGATACCTGGTAAGGATGGCAGGATGGGGTGCAGGATTCCTTCTCCTGGCCAAGGAGGATGCGGAGCATGAAGTCCCAGAATGCACGTGTATAAGTGCCAAAACACTGGCCACAAGTGTAGTCACAGCCGGGAGGATGGGGTCAGCAGGTGCCCCCCTAAGCAGCTTGCACATAAAACACGAACAGGACAAATCCCCACCTCACTCATCAGCTAATCATGCTTGAAATGTGCCAGCACATGACACACATTTCTATCCAGTCTTCAGAGCTGTGGTCTTTCCAAGGTCGAGCTCTCAGATGACTTTCCTTGTGGTTAATCTAGCTTTGCATTCACTAGCAGGTCACACGTGCACTCTTACAAAGGAAATAGTTTATGAAGAAGAGACTGCAGCAATTACCAGCAAGTGTATTGACCAGGACTCTGTTCACACATGATCTGCACCTTCTGTCTCCCCCACTTTCTTCCCCTTTGCTGTTCTTGGTCCCCTCTGATTCACCTTGATCCTTCCTTTTGCCTGCATTTATTCCTTCCCTAAAATCTAAGTTTTGGTCACTTTCACAATCACCCTCACACAACCTATGAGATGTTTGCTATTTTCATGAGACCCAGGATAGTCTCAGGTGGGTTTTTTTTCTTATTATCAATAATATGGTCATCTTCTCAGGAACAAAGTTTCCAGCTGAACCTCTCAAACGTCACACTAAAGCAGTTTCTTGTAATGAAGTTCCCATCAGTATCCCAGGAATGCTAATGTTTGGGTAGTGTTTGTTGGGATTTGTGCATCTGTGTGCCTGATTGCCTCTTCTGCCTTTGTCTGTTATTTTGAGTAGCTGTTAGCAAGACAACCCTAAAGTTGGAACTTTATGGTTTGCTTGTGGCCTTTCTGGCAATAGAGTGCTTGCAGCATAATAAATTGCATGACAAAGCTAAGTAGCCCAACTTCCATTTTATACATGGAAAACAAAACAAGCAAAGCTCTGCTCACAGACTTTGGTAGCAAAGCGAAATATGTAACCTGAGAATGACAAACCCTAGGCTTGTCTTTTAACAACCAGCTTAGCCTGCGGTGTCTTTCTGTTAATCAGTAGTGTCTCCCTTCTTTTAACTCTGTTTTTTAATAATGTCACTGATTTCCCCTTCATAATGTGTTTGTCTTAGTCATACATCTGGTAACATAAGGCAGTCCAGTTCTTTGACCGACCTCACCTCAGACAGTACCTGGGATCAGCAAAAGCCTCACTTGTTTCCTAAATCCCGCTTGAGGCCAAAAAGCGCTTCATCTCCCTGGATTCCTTCCATCACCATCCCTCAGCCTTTCAAAATGACCCTGCGGGAAGCTCGCAAAAAGTCGGAGTTGATGAAGTCATACATGTTTCTTGAACTAGACAAACAGAGAGACAAAAGGCAAAGCCAGGATGAAGTTGAATGTCAGAAACAATTCCGGGCACAGCCTGTACCTGCCCATGTGTTTCTGCCCCTTTATCAGGAAATAATGGAGCAGAATGAGATTCGCAGGCAAGCAGCAACACAGAAAAGAAAGGAGCTGCTACTTTCAACACAGCGGCCCTTCAGTTTTCTGGAGAAGGAAGAGAAAAAGAAAGAAGCGATCAGACAAAAATTCCTGGCAGCAGCAACCCCAAATGAGAGCTCCAAACAGAAGCAAGCCAGTAAAAAAGTTCCTAAATCTACTTATGACTCACTTCTTGGAGATAAACTCAAAGGTAACATGCCAGGGCTCTTTCTGTAAAAGCACCTCCCTGCCTGTCCCTTGTCCCAGCTGTCTCCATGCTGGGAGGTAAGATCATGGCTCATATGGCATCACTTGGAGCCTAAAGCCAGTGTCCCCTGGTGTTATTGAGTCTCCTGTGTGTCACTGGTCATTACATTTTGTTTAAATACCCTTGCAGTAGAGTACCCTAAGTTTAGTAGTCCTGTATGAGTGTCAGCAACAACAATTCTGTTCCACTTCCCAGAAAACATGGGCACATTGAGCTCTTCAGACAGATTTCCGTACCCATTTTGCTGCAGATCATGATAGTTTGGGAATCTTTCCCTGCACTGGATTTCATACCTTTGGTTACACTAAAGGGACTGAGATGATTTGTGGCACAAACATGAAGACAGATGTAGTGCCATAGATATGCAAGGTCCATGCAGTATCTTAGATCTGACAATTTTACTCCTACCCAAGCGATCCATTCTACACAGAACCCCTAGGAGAGGAGAGAAATATTTCCTGATCCCAAATCAGCCAGTTTATTTGGTTTTAAGTGATAGTGTAATAGTCCAGTTTCTCCTGCCATCCTCTGATGTTTCCAGTTGCCTTCCCACTTGCACTGGCTCAGTTGCTAAAATGGGGAAAGTAGGTGCCAGGACCATTCTAGTCAGGGCAGCCAAGGAAATTTTCCTGATGCTTGCCTGCTTTCAGATGGCTTAAGCCACCACAGTTCAAAGTTTGAAGTAAGCAATTCAGACTTCACGCTTGAAAGTGGGAACTAAGCCAGTCCTTAATAATTCTCATGGCTTTTCTCATTCTTTTCTTCTTTTTTACTGTTTCTGTGACTTCTTGAGGATACACCAGTTGAGTTTTCATCAGAAAACATTATGTTTTAACATAAATAGATTAGAAAAGTAAAAGGCAGGAAAGGACAAACCATTGTTCTATTTGGCATATGAGAAGGGTGAAGAAAATAACATTTCATACTTCAGGCAATGAATACCTATAAATTGACTCAAAACCATCTTATTTTGCAAACAGCAATACTGATTTTCTTTTCCTGAAAGCAGAAAACCAACCCCAGCCAACTGTCTGCATTTTCATAAATATTTAGTGCTGCACCGGGAAGGACTTCAGTTTGATGCTATAATCTGAAACATATTCTATGGAAAGTTTGTCACGAAAGTCACAAAATGTGATCTATCTGTCAAATGTTCCTTACTTAAAAGCTTTTCCAATATAGACGATTACTGATGGAGATTACATGGAAAAGCTATCATCTGTTACAACTCATTTGTAACACTCAGTCAAAATGGCTGTAAGTCCCATATAAAAAGTATGGGACTAGTATGGAAGATTAAGCATTCTGCAAGACAAAGGAGACAAAGGGCACAAGTTATCTGGTATCCCTAAGAATAGCAGAAGTCCTGTTCAATTATTGCTCCAGTAAGTAAAATATATCTAGAAATGCATGCCTAAGAAAGAGTCCCTACCATGGTTTTACTGGTATCTTTGAATTATTTCTCCCTGGGAGGCAGAGGAGAGAGGGGCTGAAAAAGGGAAAAGGAGAGCACAGGATGTTTGGTCTCCTATATGTGTAGCTGCCATCATAATGGAAAGTTTAGACTTGGGTGGTGGCAATTTCTCAGCCTTTTATGTCACTCACACTCTCCTCATTGCTTTCCTTTTGATCTTTTAGAAGCTGAACTCTACAGGGAAATCCGTATTCAAATGAGAGCAAAGGATTTGCTCGAGAGCTCAGTAGCTCCTATAGATACCAGCAACTGTCGGAGGGAGCCTCAGTCCCGAACAGCCACCAGAACTAAGCAGGAAAAACTTGGCTTCTTACAGGACAAAAGTTTTAGCTTCAAACCAAGGATTAATCCAACAATACCAGATTTTGAAGAACTTTACTGGGCGTTTCAGAGGAAAACAGTGAGGAGACAAGAAATCAAAGAGCCAACTCGTAGTAAGCCATTCAAGCTGAGAACCTCCAATCTCCATGCCAGGCAGAGGCAGGCTAATGAAAAGAGCAAGGTGAGATAGCTGGATATTTTGGTGGTACTGCTTTCTCCTATCAAGATACCAGTTTCTCAAGTTAATAGCATTTAATTATTAATGGTTAACATCCTGTGACATCCACCCTTGTATGCAGAATTCTAGGCCAAACAAGGGAACAAAATTCTACACAAAGAGATGAGCTATGACAGCTAAGGTTCAGTTACCCTTTCTTATGTCTCCTTCCCCTTGTCCCTCAACCCATCCACAACCCATCCACATGTAAATCTCTGCTGATAGAAGAGAAGAATGAGTGCATTCTCATACCCCAGCTTTTCTCTTTGGTAGGCAAATAAAAGAGGACATTCTGTACTAGCAACTGTCTGTGAACAAATACACTGAATGAAGTTTCATTTCTTTCAGGATTCTCAGAAGCTTTCCAAGGTTTCAGTGCAAAAAAGTCACTCCCTGCCTGGACTTTCCTCTCTCTCTTCCAACACCCTTCCTGTGCATATTACAGATGCAACTAGAAAGAGGGAATCAGCTATTAGGTAGGTAGAAAGTTTGTCTACAAGACTGTACAACTACTGACCAATATGGAGGAAAAAACACCAGTGTTTTCCCTCATCACATCAACTATACATTTCCTAAATGTTTCTCTGTCTTCTTTCTTTGCCAAGTCTTTCTCTGTCTCCCAGCTGCTTTGGAAACTGTACGCTTGTATGGCTGAAATTTTGCTTTTTCTCCTTAGAGGACTACAAAAGTGAAATTCCCACCTAGCATGCGATCTGGCATTCCACTTGGGCTCATCAGTAACTTTTTTTCCATATAGATATGCCCAAGATAACAAAAAGGAAGGGGACAAAGAAGGAATTTATTGGCTAGAGAAACAGAAAATGAAATGTCAAGCTATGCAAAAGTCTGTGAACAGCCGAGCAAAAGCACTGGATCCTCATAAAAGTCTGAAGGAAACACTAAAGGAGAAGTCAAAACAGAACAGGTCAGTATCCTACTCTGCGCAAAAATAACCTTTTGCTCTTGATGAAGATCATCAGATAATTCTTTAGGACAGACTGGGTCTAAAAACATTCCTAACCTTTCTAGCTATTGTATCCATTCCACATTCATTTGGATATCTTGACAATTCCATGCTTCTTCTTCCATACAGAACTGCTTCCTTTAGATTAATATTTGTAGGAACTAATTTGTACAGCCAGTCAACTGTAATGTGTAACTTGATAAAGAACACATAAGAGACAAGTTTTTCTAAAAATGTGAACCCTGTTTCTTGCTTGCAGTCTAGAAGAGCTTTGCTAATAGGTCCATAACTTGTCAGGAATAGTTTTTTTTTTTCCCAGCATTCAAAATCAAGAGAATTACCAAAGTGATTTAAAGAATGAAACACTCACCGAGAAGTCATCATTCCTGATCAGCTACAGTCAGAGGTAACCTATAGTAGACAGGCAATTTTTCCATTTCAGGCAAAATATGCAAGAGAGAACAAAAGAATACAGAAAAGAGCTGGAAGAAATGAAGCTGCGAGTCAAGAACAGACCATTCCTTTTTGAGCAGGTCACCAAGGTAAGTGGTCAATGTCCCAGAGTGTTTCTGGGCAGTAGGATAAATTGTCTTTTATTTAAGACAGGCATTAAGAAATCTAGTCTCAAATTAATTAATTAATGGATAAGAAGGTACAAATGGTCACATAGTCTCTGGACAGCACTCAAAATAACATGGAAAAGCCACCAAAGTATGCTTTTCCTTTCTATTTTTTCCTTGAAAAAAACATTCAGGCTTATTTCTAGGAGTTTGCCAGTTCCTAGTACGTATTGCAATGTGATCTGAAGTATGTATGGTCTGATCAAAATCAAGGCCTTGGAAATTAAATAAATTAAATAAATACCTATTCTGCACCTGAATACCATAGACTACAATTTGGATATGCAAAATTTTTTCTTAAAACCCTCTCCAGTTAAGCACTTTTTCTTTGTACCTCTACTGCTGCAGAAGAACATTAATGATGGTTATGTTGCTTTTATCACCTGAAGGCTTTGAAATCTGGGGCTGCATTCAGCACATCTCAACCATCATACAGTACCAGCTGCAAATCTCTATTGCACCTGAAGGATAGATACAGTCTGTACTGTATCTTTTTCCCTGGGTTTTCTCTTTCCATTCCATTGACAATACATTGAAAATATGCTGATTTAAAATTTCTCAACAGAAAGTACTCTCCTGGATCATGTTTTCTGTTCTGATAATGGAGGCAGAGAACATGCATGTGTGATAAATACTGGTAAAATTTCCACGTACCAGATTGGTAATAATTCACCATTAATCAGTAGTGTTCACTCACATTCATACTAGATTTTGATCCTTCCATATATAACACCTTGATCTTTAGGGACTGGCCAGTCCCTCTGGAAAACTAGGCCTAATCTCAGACTGCATTGACTTAAAAGGTTCATTTGGAAGCAGTGAGGATATAGGACCCAAGATGCTTGCTTTTTAATTGAGCTGATATGAAGCTATTTCACAGGCACTCTCCATTTATTAACTTCACTGTTGTTAGTTCTAGAGGATTGCACATGGCTTTTGTTTTGCACATACTTTTGATTTGAGTGTCAGAGTTAGGACTCAGACACAAGTATACCAGTCTGGTAAGACTAGAATGCAGTAGAAGGAGGAGAACAGAAGAAGGAAGGAAAAAAAAGAACTGAAGCACAAAAATGTGAGCTCTGCCTTTGGGAGATGTATGACATTGTCCTAGTGTTCAGTTTTGGTACTGTACTGTATGGATTACAAACATTTTGGACAGGAGGTTTTGTTGTCCTCTGGTCCCCATTAGGAGTCAGATGTGCACTTCAAAAGAAGTTGACTGTTATGGGGAATCCCCAGTTCTATGCATTTACTGTTTAAGGTTTCAATTTCACAGCATGACGCTCGTCAAGGAGCAGAGCGTCGCTACAGACACACCCTCCAGCAGGCTGGCCTAAGCGAAGAATTTGTAAAGAAAAAAGGGAAAGATGCCACTGACTTGCTGGAAGAAGAATCTGATGTTCACAGGTAATAAAAACAATGCAGTACAGCTCTTTCATCTGTGACTAAAAATATTTTCTTTGTTCATGAATGCACTCCAGTTTTTATAATCTAGTGTAGAAAAATTAAATCAACTTCACCGCTCTTGTTGTGGCTTCTCTCTCTGAATTCCTATGAATGCACCCTATTTCATATGCACAGGGCCAGCCATTTCTGGTATTAGCCTATCACTGTTTCTGCAGGCTGCCTGAGCCTCGGGGTGAAAAGGATGACTGTACTGAACAGGAAGGAGTACCCCAGGAGGAACTGAGCACAAAGGGAGTTGCAACATAAAAGCTTGCAGAAGAATCCATCAATCACTTCTTGACTTCTTTAGTTCAAGATTCTCCTCCAGGTTAATCCTCAGGAACTTAACAGTTTAAGCTGACACCTAAGAATTGCTGTGGGGTGAGATGGGAGAATTTAGTAAAGAAAAAAAAAAAAACAACTGTTGTTTAGAGCATGTCTTGTTCAGCCCAGCAAACCCTGCAGTCTCCCTTAGTCTTCAAAAGTGTCCCTTGTGTGAGCTCTTTCCCTTTAATGGGCAACAAAAGAAGCCAGAGAGGTTGAAGCACTATCTTTGGATAAAAATAGATATGAAAGATTGAAAAGGTATATTCTCTCATGTCAGCTCCTTGCATTCATGCCACAGAAGCACACAGGAAAGGGAGCATGCCTTCTACTGTGCTGAACATTTTTTTAGACACACGTGTGGTAGAATGGTTTCAAACAAGGTATTTCTACAAAAACAAATACCAGAATTTGGCCCACCTTGGGAAAAGATTCAAAGGGAAGTCTTTCTCTGGTGTTAATTCATCATTCACCCACTACCACCTCTGCTTCTTCCCCTCATTACTAAGAAGCAATAGTTTTCCTATATTAAAAAATTTCTCACGTGTCACGATTTAAAAGTGTTTCAACGTCTTACCAATTTAGGTCATTAATTTGGCTCAAAAAACAACCAATGTTATGAGGAAGGTTATAGTTAAACACTTTGAATGCATCACTTTGAATTATTATTATTATCCTAATTGTATGATTACTGTGATATCAAAGATGGATTTTGGAGGAAAAAATATTAGGTGTTGTCTGCCAGGACGTTACACTCAAATGTCTAGTGCATCTTGAAAGGCGTACTTCACACTTTAGCGATTTCTCTTTACCTGACACTAATAACCATTTCAAAAATAAAAATCCTTTCCATCTGGAATGTTTTCTGAGAATTTTGCACTTTGATATTAAAATATTTTTAAATAGATATAATGTTTCTGTATTGCTCAATTTTCCTTATCAGTCATCTTTTTCTCACTTACTTAAATAGAAGATGTGTCTTTGTCACCTCAATCCTTTTTCCCTTACATGGTAACAACACAGCCTTATCATCAAATCAGAAATACAGTACCTGTCAGAGCTACCACATTAGACAAAGATACAAAACTGAAATAATTACATTTTTAACCATAACAAAGTACTAAATCCATGGATTTGTGGCCCAGGGGTTTCATACTGCTACACATTACAGGCTGAATGCACCGAACTGCAGCATCCTCATTAGTGACTTGGTCTCCACACTGAGAACAGGCAGTGTACCAGTTCCTACACAGGTTTAATTGTGTAGGACATATAGAGGTTGTTCTTTCTCTGGGTACCCTCTGGAAAATAGCAGTGATGCCACTGTGCCTTGCCACATTGAAAGAGGAAGTAAAGAAGATTACTTCCATGCTCTAAGTCTGTAGTTTAAAGCCTCTTTGAATGGATATATTTGGAGCAGTGGGACTGAAATTTTAATACATACATTTTAAAGGGTATTTACTAAAATAGGTTGCTAGTTTGCATAATAATAGTTAATGGTGCTGAAAAAAGAAATTTCCAAGTATGTGAAGTGAAAAGGGAAATCCTAAGAAAGGAGGAACAAAAGTTTAAATTCTTATGCCATAATCTTTTAACAAATACTAAGGTGATACGCATGAATATAATAACAAATAAATTAATCTTCATATTGGTCCCTAAACTGAAATTGCAGAAATGTGATCAAAGTAAAAGCATCAAATTAAGTAACTGAAACTCACAACTCTGTTGCTAAACTAAGTTTTGTTCTGAAAGGAGGATTACATTTCTGTTATCCTGTAAGAGAACTCTAGTCTCTTAATATGTCTCAAAACTAGTGTGGAAATAAAGAGTTTCAACTATGGTTCTGGATTTTTTCATTTTATGAAAATATTTGGTTATAGTCAGTTACAAAATTTGGAGCCTGTTCAGCTAACCTACAAAAATACTGTAGAAAAAAGACATCTCACTGTACTGAGAAAAGAGGAGTATCTCCCATCAATTGCTGAGATGGCAGCCAAACTGCATCAGACCTTGATTCCTGGGTACCTGGTGGAGCTTCTGCATGAACCTCGACGTTACAATGCCTGTACCAGCAGCAGCACTACCTTTCCATTCAGCTAGGGAGCAATATAAACTCTAGGCATTCCCTTTGCATAGAAGCTATTACAGATACACAGTACCTTAGCAAAACTCTGCATTCTTAGTAATACCAGTTGTGAAGACTCTTTAAGTTAACAATATGTTCAGAACACCTTGTGGATTTAAAGAGCTTGATATACCAAAAACATTTTGGAAAAAAATGACTGGGAAAAGCAGGAACAGACACAGCAAATGTAACCAAATGATATCAAGTAGTACATTTATTTCATATAGTAAGTCAGCTTCTGACAGTGAGATGTATTAGAATATAGTCTCTGAAGGTACAGGGTGGAAGGAAGGCCTGTTCCTCAAGATACTGAATATTTGAACAGTGCCTAGCACAATGAGGTCCTGGTCCTTAGCTGGGGCTCCTAGGTGCTCCAGCAAAACAAACACATTAGGCTTTAGGAGATGGACTGCATAAGCAGTTTTGTAATGGTGTTCCACAACATGGGCTAAGTAACACCTAAGCAGACTTCACCTTTCAAGCTCTGCAAGAGAGAAACTTGGTCCAGCAGATCTCCAACTCCAGTTTTAGGATTCATCCATTATCTACCCACCCCTCTGTGCACAGTTAAAGTAATGTTCATTCACCCCACTGCAATATGGTGAGCCTCAAAAAGGAATGATTGATCCCATCTCAGTCACCACATATAAGAGGGCGGAAAAAAGAGCAGCTGGTCTCACCCTCTTCTACTCCAATAATTGTCTCAGTGTCTGGCAGGTGCAGAGACTCAACACCAAGGCTGGGCTGAGAGTTCATGGAGATGAGATTCTTACTATGCACTGTTGATTCTTCCAGCAAACTGCTCCCCATCAGTGACTCTATTGCAAAAAGAAAAGGGTAAAAGAAAATTCCCATGATGCAATTACACTGCAATATATGATACAATCCCTGCCCCACTTCAAGTCATATTGAGTTCTTCCCTAGACACCTACTTTATCCATTCCTACTCTTTGGGTAGCCAATGCTCCAATGGATAGAAAACACTGTTTATTGTTTTGAACCTTACTATGGTGGGATCTTGTGCAGGATTGGCTTTCTCTTTAAATAATTCACATTGTGTAAAAAACCCAGGCTGCTTGCAACAAGAAAACATAACCAACGGAAAAAATCCACATAAAAAACCCCAACTAGATTCATATTGATTTCAAAAACAATAAACATATCTGCCCCTTGACTGCCATACAAAAATACACCTTTGTCTTCTGTCCTAGAAAAGGGTAAACAGTCCTTATCTCCAAGAGGAACAGACTTTTGTTTCTTACTGGCTTGAGGTCTCATATTATCAGGACAAATATCTTTTCTTCAACCATCCACTTATTTTTTTCCTGCACTTTTCCCCCAGAGTGACTGTGCACCCTTCTTTACCTGGCTGTTCTCGCTCCCTGCTGCCAGCTGTTCCAATCCGGGAGTGGTGTTTCCTCATATGCACATTTCTGCTACCACTCTGGGAAAATGTCTTCCCACAAATTTGGCACTGATGAGGCTTCACTCCTTGGAGTCAAAGGGGGAAGAAATATCCCAAGAATTACCAAATTGGGAGAAGAGACCTCATCAACTAATAACAGTTTTGAAATGGCTGTTAATACCACTGGTACTAATTTATCAGTAAAAACTGAATGAGAAGTATTCCCATCTCCTGGAGGGTCATAAGCTTCTACAACAGAAGAGGTTTAGATATCAGTAATGGCAGTTGTTGGATAACTCAAGTCTAAAGAGTCACAAAATCTTCAAGTCAGACTGATGAGAGGGAACAAGTTATTTGAAATAATTTACTCATTGATATGGAAATACTTAATGTCCCACATATAGAATAAAATGACCAGAGGCAAGGAAGCTGTCTCTTGCCATCACACAATGAATTACAGCATCTGGTTTACATTACTAAGTAAAGACTTGATGATGACTTGTCACTGTGAAAGGATTTTCATTTCACAGAGCAGTTCATCATTTTCACAATACAAGCATGCTGTCCATACTCCTTGGCTCAATGGCATGGAAGCCAAGGAGACAGGACAGAAATGCATGGAGAACTCAATCCCAGATCTTATTACCTCAATAAAATCTCCCATTCCCAAACATACCATTTTCATTGTGCTGATGATATTTAAGATAGATCAATCAAAACAGAAGGCAGAAGCTTTGAAACACTTGTGAAATACATTTCCACCTAAACCTTTGTTCAATTACAAGTATGTAGTAGGAAAAAATAACGGAAAACCCTACCTATGGCAGAAATCCAGATTCAAGTGACTGTGGTTAATATACAGAGATGCTAGAGTCTCTCTTAAATAAGCTAATGGCAGCTATGAAATATATTCACTTCATGACATTTTAGAGACAATTATTTAAATAATTTTAAAAATGTAATTTGAGTTCAGAAATAGAAACAACCTAAAAAATTAAAGAGTATAGGGTACAGGCATCATGAAAGGGAAGCCAAAAAACACTATAACCAGAAGTTCTTTATAAACCAGGATTTTTCTTAAGGAAATAAAATCAAAGTCCTACAATAAAGGTCTTTTTTCAGACAGATCACAGAATGTCAGATGAAGACTCCTACCTGAGTGGACAACCAAATGTTTCCGAAGACTGGAGTATTCAGCAAAGGAGCGACCACATCCCTGTGCCTGACACAGAAAGGGTTTTTCCCCTACAAGGGAAAAGTAAGTTCTTAGATTTTGGGATCACAACTTAATCTGATTGCTCAAGTCCCTGAGAACAACCTGGACTCCATCTACTCCATTCTCCCATTTGGCCGTATGTATATCAGAGTTCCATGGAAATTGCACACCTCTCCTTAACTTCCTAAGGCTTTTACAGCATTCTCTTCACCAGAGTAAACAGAGGCATTATTTTAAAATATTCTTAGACCATCATTCACTGAAAGTGAAGCAAGGGACCACTGTTTCTAGATAATCTTCCAAGTATATAAATTTTAATAGAGTAATACAAAACTACTTGATCTATGATACATCTTCTATTTGCAGTTCTCAACAACCAGCTCTCGTTCCACACACTCAGAGGGTCCTGCTCCCTTTCTGCCTCTCAGTGCCAAAAATCCCATTAACTGTATTTCCCTTCCTATCAGATTCTATACTTTAGATCAGGCTGAACTTGCCAAAATCCTGTGAGAGATGTGTCAGTCATTTATATCTATGTGAAGTGAAACTGTAATTCAAGGCACAAATTGTTCTCATGGGCTGAAATTTATATCCCAGCTATTTTTTATTTATTTAAATTATGATAAACTGTGAGGCTACTATATTAATGCAGTTCAATAAAATTAATCTGTTTTGAACATTCTCTTAATAAAGCTAGATATAACTTTTGCTTGCAACACCCCTCTAAAGAGCTCAATATACCATGTTTAACACTATGATTTCAAGTCTTTAACTAGACCCCTGTACAAAAGTAATAGCAAGACCACAGGAAATTAAGCAAGCTATTTTAACAATTTATTGTACAACATATATGTAATTCTTTCAGAGTAAACTTGTTTTTAAAGGCATTTTTACTGTGGATTTGCCTTTAGAACTCTTCTTCCTACAGCTCATTTATTAGCCTCTTATCTACAATAGCATTTGACAGCTGCAAGCAAAAAGAATCAACACAGCATGTTCCAATTGCTGTTACAAAGCTGAAATATGTAGCAGAGTCTCAAACACTTTTGTACTTTCTGGCTTGATATAAATCTTTAGAAGTTTGGAAAAACTATCATTGACCTAAATAACAGTGCACAGTTCCATCTATAAAACACCCTAGAGCTATTTACACCTGCAATT